ACGTTCGTGCTGCGACATCCCCACTCGATGAAGATCAAAGGAATTTTCCATGCGTCGAGCCTACGGCCCTACAAGGAAACGGACCAGGGGAACAGGGGTCCTGCCGGGGATCCAGCCGTTAGAGAGGAGGCAAGCACTGCGAACAATGGTACGGAAGGCCACGACGAGGAAGGGAACGAGGCGACAATCCATCTATGCAGGATAGAAGAGGTCTCTTCCCCGGGAACGCTCCCTGGAACGGACCGCGAGACCAGCCATTAGCATCCGGACGATCTCGGGAGTTAGACGACATGCCCGACAAGAGCGTGCAAACGTATGCCTCCTGGTTGATGTATTCGGTCGCTACGCATACCGACGTGGATTTACCGAAGCCGAAGAGACAGATACACGTGCTCGATGTAAAATACGCACGCCCGCATGTGGCCCGAGTCCGGACCCCTGTCCGAACAGGCAGAGGAATAAGGCGACCCAGACCCGGCGACGTTAATTCAAAGGGGAAACAGGAAACGACGACGAACTGGACAGATCGTCCGCTTTGCCTCGCGGAAACGCGAGGAGGACCAGGCGCCTAGCAGGGTAGGCCCCGCACCCGCGCCAAAGGCGACCCCGGCAGCAAGGGAGAGACCCGCACCAATGGAACCTCCGGCATTAGGGGAGAACATCCCGCAGGTGGAGACGCCGTACCAAGGGGTGCGCCGGCAGGTCGCGCCGGCAAAGAAGTCGGTCAGGCAGCTGGACAGGGGATGGCCGACCAGATCGCTGCTGACAGTGAGTTGTATCAGGGACGCAAAACGCCGGCCAGGACAGGAAGTGCCCATCCGAGCAACGACCATCGACACGGAGGGAAGACCAGAGCCATCGAGGATGCGCTGGGCCGACCCACCCGTTGAGATTCCCCGACTGGACACTCACGATCCCTTGGGGTTGCTGAAGGGAGCCCTCGAGGAGGAGATATATAAAAGATATATCTCCATTTTTCAAAACGGAGGGGGAGGGGAAATTCAATTTTGCAAAAAGGATGATTTAAAAAAAAAATTTACACGCAGCTTTATAGACCTCAAGAAACGGTATAACTTTTATTTCAACTATTTTTTTATATCTTTTGTTGTTTACGATTTATAAGCACGTATATAGAAAGGGCAGTTCGAATAAAAGTGTCGATATCTCCCTCAAAGTGAAAAACGGGCACCAACGAATTACAGTTATCTTCATAAACAGGTCTAATAAATATTTATGCAAAGTTTCATCAAAATCGGAATGTATCAGTCCCCGATGTTCCCTTGTCAGTTAGAATCAGGCCCTCCAAGCTCTTGTGATTTTGATGCAAATTTTAGGTTTACGCCTCACTACCAGGAGGTGCTGATGTCGCTTCTCCACATGCATACCTTGTATCAGTGATTGTAACATACACAACTAAACATATCGTGACGTCATGTTTCTGCGAAATTTGTCGCGGCGATGTTCAATTGTTTCAAAAATTATAGAAACTGAAGAAACGTGACGCACATGTCGATTAACGGTCATTGAAAGCGATAGCGTGGGCAGTAAGAGAAGACCAAGACGTATCTCAATTTTATTTTATTTTCAATATTATTATTATTATTACTATTATTATTCAGATTATTTAACAACATATTTTGTAAGGTTTTTCTCAGATTTTTCCGAGTTTTTTTCAGATTTTTGAATCATTTCTACTGAGATGCAGCAACAGCAGGTGAAGATAGAAATGAAGTACCGAATTTTTTAGAATTGTTACTGAAAACAGTAACTGTTTACATTGGTGTTTCATTAATATATTTAATTTTAATTATTAGGTGTACAACTTTGCTTCCGCCGTTTTCCAATAGATGGTTGTAACGGTAAGCGATGGCCGAAATAAATGAATCGTAGACGTCATACAATAAGCTTAGGCACTTGTAAACATAACACCATCGAAATATTAGTCGATTTGTGTCTGCATTATAAAGTTATTTTCCATTCCAAATGGCAGTTTACGAGCCAAATTTTCGTCATTTACGGGAGGTTTTAATTTTTTGCTTCAATATGAAGATATCTGCGGCTGAGGCTCATCGAATACTCTCAAATACTTATGGTGAGGCCGCTATTAGTGAAAGAACGTGCCGAGAGTGGTTTCAACGCTTCAAGAACGGTGATTTTAACGTCGAAGACCGGCATGGCGGTGGAAGAGAGAAGGTATTCGAAGATGCAGAATTGGAGGCATTGCTTGATCAAGACTCTTGTCAAACGCAAGAAGAATTGGCAAGATCATTGGGAGTGACTCAATAAGCCATTTCAAAACGCCTCAAAGTCATGGGAATGATTCAGAAGCAAGGAAATTGGGTGCCGTACGAGTTGAAGCCGAGAGATGTTGAACGGCGTTTGTTTGCTTGTGAACAACTGCTTGCGAGGGAAAGACGGAAGGGATTTCTGCATCGTATTGTGACTGGGGACGAAAAATGGGTTCATTACGATAACCCCAAGCGCAGAAAAAAAAAAATACACATCGAATTGAGTATCCTCCTCCTTTTCGAAGTCGGATAAAAATCATGGGGACTTCCCGGCCATGCTTCCACGTCGACGGCCAAACCGAACATTCACGACTTCAAGGTCATGCTCTGTATTTGGTGGAACCAGCTTGGCGTAGTTTATTATGAGCTACTAAAACCGGCTGAAACAATCACAGGCGATCGGTATCGAAAGCAATTGATGCGTTTGCGCAGAGCATTGAAAGATAAACGACCGCAATACAAGGATAGACACGATAAAGTGATTTTGCAGCATGACAACGCTCGGCCACATGTTGCAAAACAGGTCAAAACATATTTAGAAATGCTCAAATGGGAAGTCCTACCCCATCCGCCGTATTCTCCAGACGTTGCTCCCTCTGACTATCACTTGTTTCGATCAATAGCACATGGCCTGGCTGACCACCACTTCCGGTCTTATGAAGAAATCAAAAATTGGATCGATTCATGGATCGCCTCAAAGGATGACCAGTTTTTTCGACGCGGGATTCGTATGCTGCCCGAAAGATGGGAGAACGTAGTGGACAGCAATGGACAATACTTTGAATCGTAAATGTATTACCCCATTTTCACAATAAAACCTCGAATTCCGAAAAAAAACTGCGGAAGCAAAGTTGTACACCTAATACTAAAATGTGTCTTTAAAGAAAACGGATGAAAGTATGCAGCGTTAGAGGCTGCACCCAGCAGTACATGAGGATGTTCACCTTCCCCCAGGAGAAGAAGAATAAGAAGAGGATGATGCAGTGGGTGGAAGTATGTGACAATCCAAATTTGTTAATGCTTCCACCTGAAAAACTGAAGTTCCGGGTGATACGTAGCAGCCACTTTGAAGAGAAATACTTTATGAGAAAGAGGCTGACTACATCCGCAGTTCCAACACTGTACTTACCAGGTAATACTCTTACATAATTTGTATAGCGTATTGTTGGGTACGGGCCCTTGAGACATCGTGTACACGGTTGGGCCTCCGCCATGCGGAGAGGCGCGCAGGCGCGAGATACCGACTCGCAGAAGCGACACCCTGGTACGTAGGCGATGGACGAAGGCCCTCTCGTACCACCTTTTGTACGGCTTAAAGATAAATATATACATGTGCGTCTTGTGTAAGGAAGTTGTGTTTTCGTTTACTTAAACACCCCATCCCGGGCATAACACGTATGTACATAATTGTTAATAAAAATATTTATTACACAGTGTCAGAGGCTGCCTCTATTAAAATAGAGCAGCAAGAGACCCGGATGGAAATACCAGAAGAAGAAGAAGAATGTAAGTTTTCAGTTATATCTGTATACTGAAAGTACATAATAATACTTCTAACATGAAATGCATCTATAAAGTTATTTAGTTTTGTTGTGACAGGCAAACTTGACTGCACTGGGGGAATGGATACTAAGTGTGGCATCGTGGGACACGTGGACTTCACAGCACTTCCTGGACCATCCGGAGGTTAGTGTGTTACCATGAAAAAATATTACTTTTGGTTTTACTATCTTTCTTAGTTGTAGACTGGTATGTTTAACAAATATTCTTTGGCTGTTTGTAGAAATGCAATGCAACGACTTAGGCAGACTAAGTCTACAAGAAGACAAGCCATTGCATAACGCAGGTATGAATTTATATATTACTGGATGTTAGTATTAAATATTATGCATGATGATTTAAAGGGAAGTTTTATTAAGTCTTTTTTACAATTACAGATTGTGCTGTCCTTGGAAGAGAGTATCAGCGATCAGAAGCCCAGAAAGGCCATAAAGGTACGAAATAAGTATGAATATATTAGGTTAAATAATCATAAGTGCAGGACAACACTGCAAAAAATATTGAATAAATAAAAGAATAGTTGAAGTTTTTGATTAAAACCGGTGCAATTCAATTACTTCCATTAAACATTCCTTGTCGCATCCATATCCTAAAATGAGAGAAATGTATACAATTTTTTTTCTTACTGAAAGGAAATTGTTAACATTCTACTCTTTTTTATCATTTGTACGTGTTACTAGCCATGTACCATATGAAAAGCAGTCACTGTACAGAATGCCCAGGCAATATCAATCCAAAGTTGATATAATATTAAAATAATTCGGATATTCCATAGTTTGTTCAAAAATGCCAGGCATTCTATACAATGCTTGCTTTCCATACTATGCTGCTAACATGTACAACTGAAATTTTTACTTTATGTATTTCTTACGTGCATTATTTGACGCCAAAGATTGATGTACTCCAAATCGGATACACTTTCTCGTAACTGAAGGTACTAAACATCCTCCATGTAGGGTCGAACTCAGTGCGCCACCCTAGTTTGTACATACCTTCAGTGGATATTATTCGTTTGCATGTGTAAATTACACTGTGTATACGGTACACATGGCAGTAATACACATGCAAACTATATACTACTTTATATAACTTTATATATCCTTTACAGAGTAATTATATTGTATGTTTCCTTCTGCAAGTAATATACTGAAGATGCTAAAGGACAACACCGTGGAGAAGCCCCTGCAGCAACGAGTCTACAGCGCCGTGGCAGCGGTATTGAAGGCAGCGCGGCAGTACAAGCGGCGGCAGATGGCAACGAAGGACCGCATCAAGAAGGTGCATCAGGTAGGTGTATGCCAAGTTTTGGAAAACTTGCCTACATCCCTGCACGCGATGATTTCCGCCCAGATGCGCAACGAGGGAAAACCCATCTACGGAAGATGCTTCACGGAAGAGGAAAAGGTACTAGCTTTAAGTATTTATAAGCAAAGTCCAAAAGCGTTCCGATATTTGTCAAAATTATTTCTTTTGCCAAGTATCGAAACGCTTCGGAAATTATTGTCGCACATTCCACTAAGAGCTGGAATTTGCGACAACGTATTCCGTGAACTCGAAAAGCGGTCCGAGTCCTTTCCAAACGAGAAAAGCAGATACGCTATTCTGCTTTTCGACGAAATTAAGTTATCGCCGTCATTGGTCTAAAATCCTTCAATGGACATAGTTGAAGGATTTGTAGACTCCGGTTTTTCGCGTTCTTTAGATATCGCGGATCATGCCATGGTGTGGATGTTGAAAGGCATAGACGGAGTGCGACCTTGGAAGCAACCTGTCGCATATACTTTTTGTAAGGGTACTTCTTCTGCGGACATCATCGTTAGGATGTTTAAAGAATTAGTTCGCCGTGCATGTCAAGCCGGCATTGTAGTTGTAGCCTCAATTGTGACCAAGTTAACACGAATTGTAAGGCAATACAATGCCCAATAGATTATTCGAAGAGTAATCTACCTTTCAGCAGTCGAATCCATTACGGCATGATGTAATTGTAATTGATGAAAATGAAATCGTGCCGCTCTTCGATCCTCCGCACCTATTAAAGTGCATGCGGAACAATCTTTTGATTAAAGATTTGCAATTCAATTTAGCGGATAATCTTCCACGTGTGGCTAAATGGTCACACGTGGAAGATTTATATTTTATTGATAACAGTAATGCTTCTTCTCAGGACCGAGTTCTGAAGAAGCTTACTGCAAAACATGTAGTAGTTGACAAAATTAGGAAAATGAAGGTGAAGTATTGCGCGCAGGTTTTTAGTCAATCGGTTGGGTTTGTAATGACACTTATGAGTCGCAATAAAGTTAAGAGTGTGTGTGAAATGCCTTTAGAAGGTGTTGACACTGCTCGATTCAGTCATTTTATGAATGATATTTTCGACAGTGTCAACAGTAGTCGTCCTCTTCCGGTAATAGATATGAACTGCGAAAGACCCAATATCTGGGATGTAGACATTAATGTTTTTCGAAGCATGAAATTTATTAAAAGAAAATTTGCGGATAAAGAGCATCCACTGATAGTATGCAATTGGATTAGAACGTTACAAAATTTTAAATTTTTGACAATACTTCTAGGCAATCTTGGATGTTCGCACTTTACTGGTCGCAATTTTAACCAAGATGCCTTAAAAAATTTTTTCGGTCAGATTAGACAGCATGGTACGCGAAATACTAATCCAACGTGTACTGCCTTTCACGGATATTATAGGACATTGCTCTTAAATTCATATTTGCAGTTGATAAGTGCGGATACTAACTGCGAATCTGAAGAATCCGCAAACTTTTTAATTAGTCTAAAAACATATTTGTCACCTGCTCCAAGCTGCATCGATGATTGAAAATTCTAACATTTTTCTAAATTACAATGTTTCGACAGCTGCTGAATTCGCCTCCCTACAAACCCCCCTTACCACAAACCCTAGATACGGGCCATTAAAGAGGCCATCCGTCACTTACGACCCCGAAAATCCCCTACTCCAACCTCCACCCCAATCCCACAAACAACTCCTTCCATGGACCCTCGTTTAAAGAACCTGCGGGAAGCAGCAGCCCGCAGGAGGGCCCAAGAGGACAGCATCCAAACCCCCATCCCCAATCCCTAAAATTCCTCCACCGAACCCTGGCGCGATATCCTCCCCCAGAACTCTTATTTCCCCAATATCCCCCTTCCTCACGTCCCCAGACCCCCGAACTTCCACCCTTAATGTCCCTCCAAATCCCCCCACCCCCCTAATGTCCTTAAAAATAAGGAAACCCCGAAACCTCCCGTAAATCCCTTACCTTCCCTTCTTCCTTTTCTCCTCCTCTCTTCTCCTTCACATTTATTAATCACTAGATTTCACAAAATAGGGTACACTGATACAAGTATTACAGTGATTTTAACTATGCACAAAGTTGGTTTAAATCTAGTAATATCCTTTTTAAGACGCCATTTTTTTTCATACATCATTTTAGTATATTCTTTCTGTCCCTTTCCTCCCCACACTTTCCCCCAAACCCACCCCACCCAACAATTATCCCCCTTCGCAACTCCTCCAAAAGATGATGACAATTTTTTTTATTAGTTTCTTAAACGAATTAATGGCAATCGAACTCGTGGAAAGATTTCAGGATATGATTGATGAAATGGCTTTCGCGGATGAAGAAGAGTTGATAGAAGAAGATGATGTGATGATAATCGATGATTTCAAAGTTACATCGAGTGAGGAATCAACGTTACCAAGTAAATCAAGTGATGAGAGCCTTTTTGAACCGGATGAAAAGAAAAGAAAGTATTCAGTAGTACCACTTGATACCAAAGTAAAGGTTATTACTTTAGCAAAATTACACCCGACTTGGACATTAAGTACATTACAAAAAAGAGGTTTCCAATTATTTAAAAGGAAAGATCAATTAATTAATTGGGAAAGAGATATACAAAAGGGCAGAACCTTGTAAAACAAATGACTGATTTATTGGAGCTAGGGATAATTTACAGAATGTCAGTACCAGAATGTTGCAACAATGGGCAGTAACTGCAGGTATACAGTACAGTGTGGATCCTACGAAATTTATCGCGTCTCGCACATGGGCAAATGAATTTAAAAAGAAATATAAAATAAGATCTCGACATGTCACAAAGTACATTAGCAACATGGATAAAACATCATTAGAAGATATAGCCAATATAGCAAAAACATTTCAAGAGCAAACCTCTGCAGCAATAAAATTATTTCATCCAGATTATGTAATAAACTGCGATCAGACAGGATGCGAATTTCGAACACCAATTAAGCGAACACTATCACATAGAGGCGAGAAAAACACTGTTGTGGGAGTTAAAAATATCAACAAAGTCACCCACTCATATACAGCGCAGTATTCAGTTACATTGTCTGGAAAATTGCTTCCACAAGTGTTTATATGTTTACAAGAAAATTCGGGAACATTTGGACCAAGGATAAGAAAAGAGGTGGATAATCTATCAAACAAATTTAAAAATGTGTTTATCACATGCACGAAATCAGGAAAACTTTGCACGACGACATATGAATCATACCTAGACAACGTTTTAAAACCATATATAGATGAAAATAAATTTCTATTCATGTTAGATTCATGGGGGGTCAAACAAACCCTATGCTGTATGACAGTAGATTTTATAACAAAGAAACAAATTTGCCAAAATGCAGTTTAAAAGTAATTCCACCGAAATGTACGCCACTGTAAAGAAAAAAATTTATTTTATATTCTTCTTATCATCCTTTTTAAACAAAACCTATATATCTCTTTGTATGTTCTATAGACAGGTAAAAAACTTTATAGGAAAGCTACAAAATGCTGCAGATTTGATAAGATTGAAGAGAGAATTAACAAGTAGAGAAGATTGTATAAAAATCCACGCGATTATCCACAATCAATTATCAGCACCTATTTACGTTGATATGATTCAGTATGCATGGTATGCTTGTAACTTAACAGAAAATAAAAAAATTTTTTTTAAATGTTAACCAAGTACAATTTCCACCAGAAATTAAAACAAACTAATGTAAATGCGATCAAGCATGTTTTATTAAATGTGCATGGTGCCGCTAATTTTATTGTTTCATATGTTTTTATGATAATTGTCACATATTAGAATGCAAAAAATAAAATTTTTAAAAAAATTTAAAAATTCGACTTGAACTGCAGACGTTCGATTACGAGTCAGTTACCAGCGCCGCTACTTTCTATTACGGTAACAAAGTTTAACGTACTTGTTCTTCAACGCGTCGATACCTTTTTTTATAAATATTTCGAAAACGATTGAGTGTTGGACCCAACATTGAAACATATGTTGGTGTACTACACCTACACTACGACATATGTAAGCCCCATCAAAATCCGTGTCCCATATGTCCCGACCTCCCCTTGTTAGTCGGCATTTGACGAAAAGTAAACACGGTCTCATTACAAACGTTTCTTCACCGAATTCCGTTGCGGATTAAGGCTCGATACACACTGGCGGTTCGGTCCCGGTCCGGTCTCGATTTCTCACGAAGAATATTTTCCTGGGACGGGACCGCGCTCCATCGTTTGAAACGAGGGTCTGTACTGTACTTTTCACTGCACTTTGTACTGTAGTTTTCGCGTTGCAAAGCGTACGTTTTCAAATGCAGGTACCGAAAACAATAGACTCAGTTCTCCGCGCACGTGAAGAAAGTTTCCCTTGTCCTTTTTCCGTACCAACCATAAAATTATAATCAACTCCGCGACCTTTTTCAATACCATTGCCCACGTTTCTGACCAGTTTCCTATCTCGTTATGTTTCTATCGCCGTTCAGGACGCTCCCTATTTTTATTACTTCCACGGTCAAAACTCCTCAAGGGTGGCAAAATCCAAAGACAACCGTGAGTTGGAGGTGACCACCGACACTTCCCTTTCCATCAAATTCTAACCAATAGAAATAAGTGCGAAATTTGTCACCCCCCAAATCAGGGCTTGACAAACTATATTAACCACCACCTTTTAGAAATAGACTCAGAATTTCATCAGACAGTAAATTGTAACAGTCTTGTGAAACATATTGTGAACAACAGAAAGAAGCAAGCAGTATTTTTGTGCGGTATGGATTCGTCATGGAGTTTTGAAAAAGGTAATTACATATGTACATAGTTATTATTGTGAGATTTGTTTTATTTTAACACATTGTTGACCGGTAATTAATTTCAAACATGAAGTAAACATGATTGAACACAACGAAGAAAGATTTGATAATATCCTATATTACTCGTGACCGGTCAACAATGTGTTAATATTATTTTATTCAGATATTAAAATATACGTTTAAATTATGGAATAAAATATAAATTTTTAATGGGTAATTTTCAGATGAAATGCTAATTGAACTGGTGAAAACTAAACCAGGTCTGTATGATTTGCAGTCACCTAGTTATAGTGACACTAATTATAAGAAACGAGTGTGGAACGAAATTGGAAAAGCGATAGGTCAATCTGGTAAGTAAAGTGAAAAATTCAATACAAATATATAATTATAAACATTTTGAAAAGACATTAGTAATTTATCAAATAAATTTCATTACATTATTTTGTCCTGTTGCCACGGCACTGAGCCTACAGGTGAATTAAAAAAGTTTTTAAAAATTTCCCTCGTTTCAAACGCTTCACTCTGTGCATTTCCACCTTGTCTCTATATGTTATTTACACGATTTGTTTCAATATATTCTAAATTTATATCACGACTATTTCTAATGATGTTATGGAGGATGCATGTTGTTAAAATAATTGTGGCGGCATTTTGAGGCTCAGCTATCAATCTTCAACAATAAATTCTGAATGTTTGTGACAACATCCCAAATGCACATTCGACTAATCGTCTTCCTCTGCATAGTCGATAGTTAAATACACTTTTTTCATTGTCCTTTATGCTTTTTGACCCTGGGTGTGGCCGCATTAAATATTTTTTTAATGGAAACGCCTCGTCGCCTAATACTACATAAGGTGCTACTGTGTTTGTTCCTGGCAGTGGGGAATCCTCAGGAACATTCAATTTGCCACTTTCTAAATTTTTTTTAAAAACAGAATCCGCAAAAATGCCACCATCACTGTTTTTCCTGAACAAGCCTACATCCACAGCAATAAATTTACAATTGGCATCTACCAATGCCAAAAGTATTATTGAAAACGATTTTTTGTAATTAAAATATAGTGATCCACTATTTGCAGGCACCTGAATTGTCACATGTTTGCCATCTAGGGCTCCTAACAGTTTGGAAAATTCCATATAGTCCACATTTCATTTGCTATTTCTAACCACTTCTCTTTACATGGAGTTGAAATATATTCAGCTAATAATATTTCATTAATTGCATTACAAACTTCAAGACAAATACTTTGTACGGTTGAATGACCAAGACGATAGCTAAAAGCAATCCTTTGATAGGAATCTCCAGTAGCTAAAAATCTGAAAATACAAAACGGTCAATAAAATTAATATTCAATTTGATTTGATTTTATTTAATAAATGTTTTATTTCCTTAATTACAGGTGCAAAGAATCGTTGGGAGTCGCTACGAGGCCAGTACTGGAAATATCTGGCCAAATTAAAAACTAGAAGCGGACAAGCCGCAGCCAAGATTACAAAATGGCGATTCTCTGACCAGATGGCATTCTTAAATACATTTGTCAATATTGAACGACCGCGTTTAACGTCAATAACAGAAGATGAAAGTATTGAAGAAGGTGTAGAAAGGGAGGTTGAAAAACCAGAATCGACTCCATTAATACAGAAACGAAAAAATAAAGCCAAGACACAGAAAGAAAATGCTTCCACAACACTAATGAAATATATTTTAGAACAAAAAGAAGACGGACGGAACAATGTGGATTTCATAGATACATTTTTCCAATTAATGGCGACTACAGTTAAGAATTTTGACGCAAAAGATCAACATCTTGTAAAAACAAGAGTGTTTAGTTTAGTTAGTCAAATAGAAGAAAAATATGTATTAAGTTCCCCTTCTCCATCGTTTTCACCCTCGGCAGCCACTCAACAACAAAACTATTTTTCACCCGAACCGCACACCTCGTATCACATAACATCCCCACCTCATTTCATTCCACCACTACAGTCAACCCACAATAGCAATAATATGATTGACCCACAATATGATCCACCCTATCCATCCACAACTCCCCCAGCTCGAAATAATTTTAATGACAATTAACGTCTGATAAGTGTACATAGTGCATATAGTTTATAAGTGTATATAGATTGTGTGTATAATATAATAAGAATATAATAAAGTGTATATAATATAATAAAAACAATTATTTACCTTAGACATACCATTAATTTTTGTCTCGGAGAAATAGCTTTACGAAACGTGGTATTTTTCTTGGAAATTTTCGTCGAAATTTCCTCAAGTACCATTTCAAACGTACGAGAATCTATTCTAAAATACTTAATAAATTTTTCTGCATCTTTCATTAGATGACGATAATAGATGACAGCGTATAATATTCGCCTTCACTTTGTCTCCTTTTTAAACTTGGATGCACCCACATTGTTCGATTTATTTTCTTTCCATTTCTTCTGTTTTTTTCATCTTCATCTAACAGAATAGCTATAATAGCTAATTCTTTATTTGAAAAATTAAATGGCATCTTTCTGATATTTTTTCTTTGGATTCGATCCGACTTGCAGCACGAACGATTCTAGACTGAACAGTGCTCGGGCAAGCGTCCAGGACGCTAGATCTGTATGGGGTAAGATTTTACCGAACGGAGACCGGACCGGGACCGAACCGAATAGTGTGGATCTAGTCGTACGGTAAGATTTTACCGGACCGAGACCGAACCGATAGTGTGTATCGGGCCTAAAACCGTCTACGAATTTCGCGTCCCCAAAAACGGCTTAAATAAAAGGAAACTCGTCTCAATTGCGCGAACTTTTCGAGGAAAATTCGGAATTTCAAATCAAAGAGAAAGGAATAGAAATAAAGTACGTCAAATCTAGATGTACGGGAGACCTAACACTAGCAGAAAATCTGTCACAATTAGACAGAGCAGAACAGTGCCCCAATCTTTTTACGACAGAATAGTACGGAAAATACAGAGGAATAAGGAAAGGAGAACCGAGCTTATTATCTGAAAGCAGAATATAAAGGCAGGGACCATTCAATAATTGCAAGGTTCAGATGTGGAAATGAAGAAAGAGGCAATAGTAAAAATTGGAAAAATAAAGAGGACAACGTCTGTAGAATGTGTGGACAAGGAGAGGAGACAATAGAACACTTGTTAGAAGAATGTAGAAAAGTGGGAAGAGATAATGAATTAACAAGGAGGAATAATTTTGCAGGGTCTCTTGTCCCCTGCTCTTGCAGGGGAGAATATGGATGAGGAAAATAATTCGAAGAAGGAAGGAGATAGACCAGAGACAGAAGACCTAAAGTTTACAGGCCATATTGTATCATCTTAATGTATATAATTTATAAAATATTGTAGGCGCATTCACGTGCCAAACCCTCTTTAAAAGCCGAAAGGCAAGAAATAAAGTTATCTATCTAATAAAATTATCAACAGTATCACTCATAGAAAGTTCACAGGTTTTTAAATGAATAGCACTTTTAAAGGTTTAGCACTTTATTTTTATAATATGATCTTGACTGACTCCGCTTATGTTCGATAAGGTCTTTTATAATGTCGTTGGTGGTGGAGGAGGGGCCGATGATTGACAAGGTGGGATGTCCGTGAGAACGCGTCTTATCGAATACTTAAGTAGGTGGTCGTAATATGATGTTTAGGTGTCCGGTCGTGAGGAGTTCGATTGTTCGAATATCGATCGTTTAGGCGGGTGGCCGTAACACGATGTTTGTCCGATCGTGGGAAGAGATACACAGATGAACTATATTGACCAACCTAGCGAGCACAAGGACAACGAGACAACGAGGTAAAAGGTAAGCCAGCATAATTATCCTAAAAATTCCGAGGAAGAGACAGCACAAGGAGGAAAAGCCCCTATCGATATCAATAAGTCCTGGTCTACAATAGCTGATTTAAGCTTTTAGCTTTAAGGAACTGACCAACCACAATCGACTATTCTCTATATCTTTGTTTGTAATTGGTTAATTTCTTAAGGCTTAAAGCTTAAATCATTTATTGTAGACCGGGATTAATTGTCGAAAGTTTATAAAAAAACTTTGAAGAATACCGAAAGTTCTGAAGTTCTGAACAGTCTACGTTAAATGAGAAAAGTCCAAACATTGTGCTGCAAGATCCTCCTGCGAATTTGCAAATACGTGCCAAAGTTTGTTATTTGTTACTTATATTGTTAACAAGTGGGGTTAGCAAGTGAGGTTATATTAATGTTAAATTATATTATATTAAAATTAACTAAAATCATTAAGTGATATTGTATATTTATTGCTCTATTCTGTTATTTATCTATACTTATGGAATCAATAGTTGACGATCCCCAACCCCAACTTGCAAAAAGGAAGAAACAACCAACTTTACAAAGCTTTCTTGTATCAAAACCAACAAGTTCTATTCAGTCATCTTCTGCTCAGTCTGTATGTCAAACTTCGAAGTAATTAATAATTTATTTTATATTTTTAAAAAATGCTAACACATTTTTAGATTCTTATAATTTATCTGATATAAATTTATTCTTTACCCTTCAGGGTTGGGTTGCCAGGTTGCCCCTTCTGGGTTGCCTCCTGGGTTTGCCCCCACCCCACGGGTCCCGTAGCTGGATATACTACCCACTAAAACCCCTCCCCTACGTGGGCCGCCAGTAATGTGTATAAAGTTAACTCCCCATTTTTTAATTTTAAATGTTTTTTTAGTTGTTCCAGGTTGTTCTATGTTTGTTCTATATTGTTCCAGAGTTATAAGACCAAAAACCAAAAAACAAGACAATAAACGCAAAAAAAAACAGTTTTTTTTAGCGTCCCTCCATTTTTTGAAAAATCCAATTTTTGTTGTTGTTTTGGATTGTTCTAATTGTTCGAAACATTGTTCCAAAATATCAATTCCCTAAAATATGTTTTTACCACAGCCGACTCTAGTACTAGCCGTGCTGAAGTAAAAATGGCAACAACGCTGGAGTCTGGTCTGAATATATCAACACCTAGCCTACTCTATCTGCCTCCTGGACTCCCGGACTCTCAGCCAATCAACGTCGTCAAACTCTCGACTACTCTCTGGACTTCACATAACCTCTTTGGTTTCGTTCCAATAATTTCGCTTGTTTCAAGGTTTTTATTAACTTGTATACACGTTCATCAATTCTTAAATGTTTCAATTTGACCCAAAGATGGTTTCATTTTGCTTCATACCTAAATTTTCTTGAAACCACTGTAAATATTTCAAATATCATGCTTCACAACACCAAACTACTTCGAGAGTACACAAAATATATATCACATTTATAACAATTTTATACTACCACATCACTTCTATTTGCCATAGTTGCAACGTTTATATATTGTTTATACATAATTAACACCAAATAGTGTATATTACTACAGCTTATAATTAAAAAAGACGTTAATTACAATTCCGAGCACAGGACTCTGTTTTTGAAAATAGGACTCCCGATTGTCACGTGAGCGGTGTTGCCACGTTGTTCAGCATGGCTAGTACTAGAGTCGGCTGTGTTTTTACAAAGATACAGTAAAAAATATTAAAAAGTGCTGAAATCATTTTTTTATCTTTGTAGCTATCATTTATTGTTATCTGACCAGTAAATTACATATTTGAGCTGCAAATGACAAGAACAACTTGGAACAACTCTCAGGTTTGCCAAAACAAACATATAAAAAGCTCTTTACTCTTATAGGTAGAGATATATTTCATCTTTTTATTGCGGATCTAATGGTATTTTCGAATTCCTGAAAATCAGTTACTTTCGTTAAGAGAGAGTATTCCATGATTAACATATATAATGTTTTTAGTCGTGGATGTACGTTTTTAAATTTATTTCATGTAAGCGTAAAAACCGCGACCCGGAATCTTCTCGAAGATTCCGGGGATATCCCCCACCACCGACATAGAGAATAGGCACTAGACGTGATTACCGAAGGTGCAGACCGAGACGAACGATTCGAACGAACGGCGTGGTTCCGCGTGGTATTATAACGGACATATATTATAACATTAAAAGCGCTCAAGAAATTATAAACGATAAAGAAGAGAGGAATTAATTTATTCAACAAAACCCTCCCTACCCTCTCTTACATTCACTAGGAAATTAAGTGCGAAATGTTTAAAACGAATGAGACACGACGGTAAACTAAATTCAGTTAGATAACAAAGGCAATATCGCATACAAAATGCTGAAAAATGTCATTTTTCTCAAATAGGTATAATTTTCCAAATGATTCCAAGATCTGATCACACGTGATAAATGCTAAAAAAGTTAATGAAAACAGATTCACTCTTACTAATGTAGCGGAATTGCGAAGCTATGTGCGCGGCAAGATTAAAAATAATTTAGTACTAAATAAAGCACAGTACGAGTTGGCAGGAGCAATAAATTATGGAGGAGGTACAACAATGACATCCGTAGGACACTACACTGCATTCGTAAAAAACAATGATGAGTAGATGCAATTTGATGATTTATGTAAAAAATCGGTACATGTTATGGATGATACAGAAATAAACGCGAAAATGTGCATATATGTAAAAACTTAAAACATAAAAAATGTGTATAAAAAACAAAAAATGTTTTAAGTACTTAGAATTTTCTTTTAACTGTAACGTGGTGACACGAGTGGCCCCCCCCCCCCCCCGTCACAATAGCCAAGTCCCTTGGCTCGCACGCGCCCGCGTCCCTCCCGCGCAATACCCCTATCCCCGACCCCAACCCTTCCTCCCACCCGCCGGTAACGGATAGGTAGAGGCGACAGAAGGAAGCGAAGAGGACCCGCCAATATATATGTGTTTTTATGTATGTACATATATAAAATATTTATATATACAAATCTTTTTGAGTATATTGCGAGAAACAAATGGATACATTAATCAAGCACCCCAAAAGAGATTAAAACACCGCTATATCTTACGTCACTGACTTTAAGATACAAATAAAAAAAATATAAAATTAAAAAACAAATATTACGATTTGAAGTAAAATATCTTAGAAACTATGGGTGACAAAGTTCCCATGGATTGACAAAGATGTCAAAAAGGAAAAAAGTGTTTTATATGTTTACCTTTAAGCATAAAGAACTTTTTATGTTTGTTTTGGCAAACCTGAGAGTTATTCCAAGTTGTTCTTGTCATTTGCAGCTCAAATATGTAATTTAATGATCAGATAACAATAAATGATAGCTACAAAGATAAAAAAATGATTTTAGCACTTTTTGATATTTTTTACTGTATCTTTGTAAAAACATATTTTAGGGAATTGATATTTTGGAACAATGTTTAGAACAATTAGAACAATCCAGAACAACAATAGAAATTGGATTTTTCAAAAAATGGGGGGACGCTAAAAAAAACTATTTTTTTGTGTTTCTTGTCTTGTTTTCTGATTTTTAGTTTTATAACTCCGGAACAATATAGAACAAACATAGAACAACCTGGAACAACTAAAAAAACATTTAAAATTAAAAAATGGGGAGCTAACTTTATACACATCCGCCAGTATCCTTTCATCCCCCCCCGGCCATCCCACCCATGTCACCCCATGATACCACATCCATACAGTTACCCACACTCACACCCACCCACATACCCGCCCTCATATCCGCCCCCGTTTCCATATCCACCGTACCCCTACTGAGTATATGTTAGTTGTATATAGTGTAAAAACAAGGATAAAAAAATCAAAAGTATGGGAGCTTCTTAAAAAGGATCCTAACGATAAGAAATTATCTGTATGCATGATATATCATACTGAAATCTATAACAGTGGTAATACAAGCAATTATTGGAATCATCTACATCGTTATCATGCCTCTAAATTAAAAAAATCTATTGAACGTGAAGAGGAATGGAGCCCTTCACAGTCTACCCCCAATGAGAGTGAACCTGAAGGTATTAGAACAGAAACTGAGAATCAATGGTACAAATATAAATTTATTTTCTTTTAGTGTTTGTATAGATTCATGTTTGTTATTAATTTTTATTGTTTCAGTGTTAATACTCAGAAAAATTTGTGTCGAAAACATTTTAAATATCAGCCTTCATTAAAGAAGTTTATAAAAAAACAAAGACTGTGTTATGGTGCTAATAGCAAACAAAAAGTTATATTGGATAAAGCACTAATGAAATTTATTACTAGAGATCTTCAGCCTTTAAGCATAGTAAATGATATTGGATTTCAAGAATTTGTGAATGAATTGAATCCACGTTATAGTTTGCCAAGTCGACCTACAGTCACTAATGTTTTAATTCCAAAAATGTATGAAGAGACGAAAAAGAAAATTACAATTATCTTAAATACTGTCAAGTGAGTTTTTTCAAAATGTTTTATCTTTCTTCTACATTTTTAATTAATTTTTTACTATTTTATAGATATTTAGCAATAACTTTTGATGGTTGGGCTAGTGTTGCCAGAGAATCTTATCTGACGGTTACAGGTCATTTTATTTTTGATTCTAAACTAGAAGCAGCGTTATTGAATTTTATTCACGTCAGTGATGAATGATCAACAGCTGAAAATCTCAAACCTTTTAATTTAAAAAAAAGTATTAGAGATATATCCAAATATGCAATTAGTATGTGCTGTAACTGACAATGCTGCAAATATGATAGCAACTTGTGAGAAATTAAAGGTAAATTTAATAAATTTTTACTTAAATTATATTTAAAACCTATACTTATCACACGTATAATATATTACAATTTTAATAGGTCAAGCATGTTCCATGCGGAGCCCATTCTATACAGTTAGTTGTAAATCATGTCATATTGAAAACTAAGCCATCATCGTTAACTACAAGTAGAGATACTGATGTGATAACGTAAGTATTTAAATCTATCTAAATATGTATTATTCTATGTATTATTCTTGATCTTATTGAGTTTTAATTAAATATTTCAGATTATTTGAGAGTGATGAGTCTGAAAATTTATCTTCTCACAATGAAGTTTCAGTTTACATTATTCTTAAGAAATGTAAGCGTATAACTACTTTCTTTCATTCAAGTCCTAAGAAATCTGCTGAATTAAAGAAAGAACTTAATCTACGTCAAATGGAAGTTACAACTTTAGTACAATCAGTTTATACTCGTTGTTTATGTTACGACGTATACATAAAACTTTAGATTGTATTAATATTATTTTATTAAGATCAAAAAACAATATTCCTCTATTGAACCAAGAAGAAACAAATTGTATCCCAGATATTTTAGCTTGTTTGAAAATATTTGCTGTTATGACTGAAAAATTAAGTTTACAGTTTCTCTTTTAATTCCATGTACAAAACAAATACTCATTGAATTAAAAAATTTGGAATCAACTATAAAAATAAGCACTGGGAAAATGTTTGTTCGGGTTTCGCATTTCTTTTCTTTAATTGGTCCGAGCTGTAGGATTCAAATTTGACGCCACGAGAAGGGGGGCATGAGTGTCAGCGCCACGCTGCAATACGCAGGCGCGAGCAGTGTGGGGGTGGAAAGGACCGTTCGGGACTGGGCCCGACATTCAGACGAGAATCCGTGACCTCTGCACTCGTATTTTTGGCCTTCGTGCGTTTGAGATACTTTTGTGTTCCTTTTGTGTTTTTATTTTGTATTGGGGGCGATCGGCTGACGTGCGCGAGTTTAATCGGGCGTGCGTCCTCTGCGTGTGAAGCACTGAGTGCATTTGGGGCCGTGTGATCACGGTCATTTTTTGTCCCCACTTGGCGGGACGCTTCCTGTGACCAGGAAATGCACTGGGTGCAATCTTAAGCTCGTGTGATCACGACTGTTTGGTTCTCAATTGGGGAACGCCTCCTGTGATCAGGATTTATTTGTGCGAGGACCGCGACGATTGGCTGCGACGTCGGCGAGGTACCCTAGGAGTACGGATGGTAAAGAGCTCTTGCGTGCGATAGTCATAAGCTTGAATGATCATTCAAATAGTATTTTAATCTCTAGGTTATAGTTTTACTTTCTTATATATATATTATCGTTTTGTTATTGTATTATTCTTTTATTTGTTGTAGTTTATTTTGCTTATGGAACCAGGCTTTTTCCCCACTTGAGTCTGGGGTTTTTTACAGCCGGTATTTTTTAAAGTCATTTTTTCTATATAATAAAATCATTTGTTTTTCTTTCTTATTCGTTAAAATCTAATATTGCTTGTGTTTCATTTATCCTCTGTGACCACGATCATACCTTGTTTCCTCTTCCCTTAATATTGAAATCTGATATTCGGAACAATGTTTCAACAACTCCTCATTGATTTGAGTGAAGATAGATTGCTAAAATATGAAACACGAACTGTTCCTAGGTATATAAATTCACAATCTTAATGTTTTTATAATTTAATTAATTATTAAAATTTGCTTTTTTTATTATAATTTTGGTAATGCTGCAACTTTTATTAAAAATGAACTAAAGATTATTTTGAATTCTACGAATTCACTTATTGCTCAATCTTCAGATTCATCTAATGTTGATTCAATTCAGAAAAAGGGTAAAACATTTACAAGTATTTCAGTAAATCATGTATCATGTATTTAATTAAGTTTCTTTTTTAAATTATTACTTTCTTTGAAGCGGTTTGCATTTTCCTGCTACGACGACGATAGCACGCAACACGCGCTTTACTTTCATGTTTTTATATCGCTTACGTTTTTCTATCGTTTCATTATAACTAATGTATCTTCTCTCATACCATGTAATTAATATATATATATATATCGTTTTCTAAAGTGATCATGGTTTGTGAGAAAAGAAGTGGAGAAATGTGATATTTACTGACGAGAAGAAATTTAATTTGGACGGTCCTGATGGCTGGAATTACTATTTCCACGATCTAAGGAAAGAAGAACAATATTTAAGCCGTCGACAAATGGGTGGTGGTGGTGGAAGTGTCATGGTATGGGTCGATATTGAATATCGGGGAAGAACCGACATACATTTTTTATCAGGCCGTGTAAACAGCAAAAACTATATTGAATTAATAGACGATCAGTTAAATAAGCACGCGACTCGTATTGCAGGCAGTACGCATATTTTTCAACAGGATAATGCTGCAATACATACCGCAAGATGTGTTAAAGCTTATTTCAGTTCTAAGAATGTGACATGCCTTCAGTGGCCAGCCCGTTCACCCGACCTTAATATTATTGAAAATATATGGGCAGAACTTTCAAGAAACGTTTATGAGAATGGAAAACAATACAAAGATGTAACGGAATTAAAACAAAGTATTGTTACAAATTGGAATCATTTAAAACAAAAACGTGTTAAAAAATTGTTTAAATCAATTCCTAATCGCTTAATAGATGTTATACAGCGAAAAGGTGGTTTTACTAAATATTAATTTGGAATTTAACAAAATATTTCTGTTTAAACAATTGTATTTTTTAATAATGTTCTATCATTTTGTCCAACTAAAATCAATACATGTCTACATTATTTTCTCTAGTTTCTTTCGTGTACAAGATACAAACTTGCAATTCTATATGGATACTTTGTAGAACATATCCAATATATAAGGTGAGTAATATGTACATATATCCTATTGTGTTATTATATATGAAATATACAAATACATCAAACATCCTATCATTTTGTCCGACAGTGTAGAAGCCGAGAAGGGGGAGGACCTTGACTCCCTACAAGGAAGAAAGTGAAGGGTGTAAGAAATAGGAAGAAAATGGAAAAGAGTGGTAAAAGCACTAACACAACGAGAAACGCAGGCGGATCAAAACTGAAGAATATTTAGAAGGAGAAAATTTATTTGCAATAGAACATAACAACTTCAAAATACATTACAATTGACCATTAATGATGTTCTTAAAGAGAGTGCAGTAGACAGTATTTTGCAAAAAATTCGTCTCTTAGTAAAAAAGTTTCGAATATCTTCAATGTTGATCGCTTTAAGAATAATGAAATTAAACAAACCAGTTTTAGATTGTGTTACAAGGTGGAATTCAACTTTTAATATGTTGGAACAATTTTTGGAATTAAAAGAATTATTCAACGAAATTAATGAAATCGGTTTAGAAGATAAAGAATGGACCAGTGTACAAGAATTAGTATGTACTTTAAAACCCGCAAAAACTGCTACAAAGAGATTACATTTACGCATTATGGATCAAATTAAAATTGAACATAAAAAAAATTAAAAATGATTATGCAACAATGCTAATAAATCCAATTAATTCGAGAGAAAATACTTCTCGAGAATGATTCTTTATTAGCATCAGTTTTTCTTGATCCAAGATATAAAAATTAACTGTCAAAAGCATAGAAAGAAATTGTCACAATACATTTAGTAAACAAATGGGAATATTATAAAACAACATATCAGTTAAAAACATTAGACACTTCTACTTCAAGGTTTGGTGTCAGTATTTCTGTTGAAAATGAAGATATTGATGACATGGACAAACTGCTCTTTGAGGCAGACGAAGAATTAAAAGAGGATGTAATTCATTCAGTTCTTATTACGCATTCTCTAAATACTTTTTCGAAAATCCCAAGAATAGAAAGAAGCACAAATCTCTAGCAATACTGGGAACATGAAAAATATACCTATCCTGATTTATTTATTCTTTTGCAAATTGTACACGCTGTGCCAGCTACTTAAGTGTCAGTACAACGCTTGTTTTCAGAACTGAAATTTATATTAAATGACCAACGATCTCACTTAAATCATGATATTATAGATGATATCATGATTATACGAAGAAATGAACTTTAGTTTTGGAAAATTATAATATTTATGGTATCTTAATATAATATTTATGTTTAGTATTTAATAATCTAATAATTTTATTGTATATGTATATGTAATAATATATTTCATAATTCTATTAAGAACGTTTTCTTCAATGTTACGTTACTTGATTATACTTATTATGTTAAGTGCAATTATCAGTATATTTCTAGCAAACGGACCGTTCACCGATTTTGACATGTTATATATCGTTGGATTCATCTTGTTGAGTACATTATGAATATACATATACATCATTACTTGCGGAAATTTGTTTTTCGTGTGAAATTTATTATAAACTTTCAATAAAAAGTGAAGTTAGGTTAGGTTATAGTAATGGCCAGCCAGCTGGCAGTGATATTTCATTTAAAATTATTAGTACTTTGATGATAGCAATATTAGTATCTCTACTTTCAACAAGTACAAGAGATTCTGTGTTCATTTTTCATTTTTGTAGCACTGCTATGTATATTGTGGACAATTCATTTCTTACTTTATTAATATCTTATTCTGCAGGAATTTGAAAAGTGAAATTCAAATAATTAACAAATGAAAAATTTGTCTTTCTTTTGTTTCAAAACTGTAAGTTCAGATTTTCTTCTATTTTTAATAGTTCACAGATTTTAGTGCATTTTGTAATTAAAATGAGTATATGTATAATTCCAAAAACATGGAATTTTATCAATATTCATAAATTTTGCAACCATCAAGATTCGTGATTAAAATTCCTCCAGGATAAAGAGCTAATTAAAAAAGAAATGTACTGTCCACAATGTGGAAATTTAATGAAATTAGTAGATAAATATTCGCGCTGCAGACCGACTATCCCAGCCACTGCTAATCCCATTTAAAGAAAAAATGTTTGTAATGTTAAAATATCAATAAAAAAAGGAACGTGGTTTTCAAAAACAAAAATGAATTAAGTAATGGTACTAAAATTAACGTATATGCTTGTGCACAATTATGAACAACATTATATTATTAGAGAATTACAGTAGAAAAATACAGTATCACAATGGTCATATTTTGTACGTCAAGTGATGACAGAGTGGCTATATCACTCCCGCAAAAGAAAAAATTGTTAAAATCAACAAGTCCAAATTTGGCAGAATAAAGTATCAAAAAGGACATTTTGTTGAAGGGCAATGGGTGTTTGGGGGAATAGAGAGAGAGAATGGTAAAGTATGTAAACATCTAAAAGTCAATCATAGTGTAAATTTTAAAGATCCTATAATAGCTGCTCATACCAATACTGTAGAAGGTACTTAGCGGCACGCCAAACATTTCTTACTTCAATACTGTTGGTTAATATTTATAACTTAACTCATTTTTTCCTTTTACTCGTTATCCTTTTTATAAGATATAATACTATTGGTATTTTCTATTTCTAGCAAGAAGGATAACTTCATTGGATATTTGAGTCATTATATATTCACCAAAAATGTAAAAAAAGTACATTTAGATTTACTCAATGAAATTGTGTCAGAAAATTTCATTTGATTCAAAAGAAAATGAAAATATGCCCAATTTGGAACACTCAGAATAAATACTTTTAATGTAATAAAATAATATTTCTACTCATAGATGTGTCGAAGTGTACTTAACCTCACTTTTTTATTGAAACTTTAACGTCAATTTTACATGAAAAAAATGCATTTCCGCAAGTAATGATGTACATATTCGTAATGTACTCAACAAAACGAATTTAATGACATATATCTCGTCAAAATCAGTGAACACATATGTAACCGTCTCACAATCATTTTAAGTACTTACAGCTTACAGTATCAAATTTCTCGCCGGTCCCTTTTCAGTTTGTATCTAGTAATTTGTAACCCGTTCTCTTGTGGTGACCACGGGTTACAGTAAACGTAACTTATTAACCTGGGTTACGGTGCTGGTTATGCACTGGTTAGAATCTCTGCGTATGTGGACTGAATGTACCGACAGTCATTTGTTTCTGTTCATAAATGTATAAAAATCACAAAAACAGGAATTTCCGCAAAAAAAGACAAACACCCCAATAATGTACTCAAAAAGACGAATTTAACAATGTATAACACATCAAAATCGGTGAACGGTCCATTTTCTAGGAATGTTCCAAATTTTAATATTTCGAAATAATCCTTACCTGAATTGATGCAACGATTCCGCCATTTCTGCATCAACGATCAGCGAACAGGTTTTATTTTAATTCTGTTGACATTTTCGAAAGTTGAACTAATGCATTGTTTTTCAAATTTGTCGTTTAAAATCACAGCACAGTACAAACACAATTTCACTAAGCTTATCACAGTTAGTTTTTACAGTTTACACCGTTCACAATTCGATGGCACTTGATTGACTGCTGTATGGAGCCAGTGATACAAGAACCGTGGGACGTGGGAAATAAATTTTTACCCTCTGCACGACGTCCCGCCGGTTCCCCAACTTCAGTTGAAATTTAATATGATTAAGAATGTGGCTCTGTGCACTGTCCCTTTGTAAGAAAGTGGTTAGACGGTCGTCTGCCTAAACCCTTGGAACCGTCCACGTTGCGAATGAGATACATACATACACGTATTGTAAAAATAAACTTCTTTTTATTATCTGAGGTTCGAACGTATCAACCGACGCTTTCGGTAGTCTGAACAACAATGGCGTTTCTTCTTCACTTCTTTTCCCACACCTCGGTAAGGCAAGGCTGCCACCTTTATTTTTGTTTCTAAGGAGAAAATGGGCGCGACTAGCGCAACTAGCGCTACTCCCTACACCTCCGTCTGTTTCCACGACTCGACGTTGAAGCTCATGGCAGCAGCATCGATGAGTCTGTAGTGAAACGGTTCAAAGAGAGCCGCGAGAAATGGGGTTTGGTAATTAAATGTCTGTAAATTACTTTTTGCACAGAACTATAGCACTTTATTTTTTCCTTCTGTGTTCTTTGGCGTCACAATGCTTTCTAACGTATGTATGTATGTATGTATGTACCCTTACAAAAATCGGGGGTGCGCATCTTAAAACTAGGCTTACCAACTACTTAAACTACAAGATACTAAACTAAACCAAACGACTAGGAAATTAAAACTAATCTTAACCTATAGATGGCGCGTCAATGCCCTGCAACGTTAGGCGCTACAAGTCGACGAAATAATACACATATGTATGTATATATGTTACTTATAATCTCATCTATTTGGAACATTCAGAAGTCAGGAGATTCATCTCGAATCCTGATTCCACGATTTCAATTTTTAGTTTTAATTGTTTTGTAATTTTAATTTATAACTTCTCAATAAAATAGAACGTTGAAACACCTCAATTTGCAAAGCAATTAAAAAAAACAGAGATGAAGTGTTTTCTTTCTTAATATTTAAATTTTATATGCATGCATATGTAAATACTATACTTATACACAGATCATAAGTTACCGAGTACCAACAAACTTAACAGCATAGGGGCAAAGAGACTGGGCCGTTCGCTCTATCTAATCCCTTCCAAGATCCCTCATCTTGAGGTGTCAGCAATCACTCTGTACCTACATATAGACGTATGTACAATTTCCATATTCGCGGAGGATACATTTGACTATATAAACATGCAATTTTTTCTAAACGTCAATGGATTTTTTATATGTATATACATATATTCCATCCTTCTTCTACTAACCGATGTCACTGCTCAGTCGAGCGTGAAATTTATTACCCTAAACATCGGCTTCGCGCTTTCATGGACCTCTCACTCATTTCTCGTACTTCTCACTTTGCGGGCGACTTCAAACAAAGAAGAGGAGATAGCGAGTTGCTTATTTCGAAGCAGAGACCACTTGCTTATTTCGAGGCAATACTGTAGCAAGAAACCTATTTCTCGGTGTTACTCTGCAAGGAATGAACCAATCGCGATGAAACCTTTTGTTACGAGCAATGTGTTTAACGTGAGCATTTTGTAAAATGACCGGACATTGTATAGAATGCCCGTTCGAAAAGACATTGTGCAAAATGTCCGTAACAAGTTTCGGTCAATCTATAAAATGTCCGGTCATTATACAGTATACCTAGAGGGTGGTGGTCAATGGTGACTTCAAAATGCGCTAAAAAGTATGAAATAATTTCTATTTCATTTATACCAATATTCTACAGCTATTAATAAAATCTATTTAAACGTTAAATACTATACTAAATACATTTCAAAGTTTTCGGAGGCGGCGCAAAGTTAAAAATACCCGAATATACGATGCTGCCAATAACGATTTGATTGCGGTATGGCAAACTTGGTAATTAATAAGTCGCAAGAAAAAATGAGGAAAAGTTATAGGTACGGCTGAAAACATTTTTAATTGTAACGATTGTAAGTTAATCCGCAATGGATATGTTGATTCCCGTTGAATATTGTTAACTTGAAATTATCAAATGGGTCATTCGGTAATCGGCGTGGCATCGGTTGCCAATCCCTGAACTAGGATCTTCCGAGTAGAAGGAAAATTTTTAATTTTGCGCCTCCTCCGAAAAGGTTGAAATGTATTTAGTATCCTATTTAACGATTAAGTAGATTTTATTAATAGCTGTGGAATATTGGTATAAATGATATAGAAATTATTTTACACTTTTTAGTGCATTTCGAAGTCGGATTTTTTTTTGTTAAAAATTATTTTATCATAATAATGTAAACCTACGTCAAATCTACGTCTACGTCAATGCACTCCAATCGTCGCTCGCTATCGCTTCATCTCGCTCTGTTTCAACACGCAATAGATTTGCGGATATGAGGACCTTGGCCAATAAATATAATACGTGTGACTGGAGGCAGAACAACGAATTTGATTCAACGGCAACTTACGATCTCTGTATATTAGAGAGAGCTGGTATGTAGGACGTCGTGAAAGGGGTAAAAATTTGTCCCACGTCGCGCGTCCCGCAGTTCTGGTATCGTTAGCTAAAGTAGCGATCCCTGAAGGTATTTCATCTTATCTAAAACCTAAACATCGACGCTGGGCAAGCCGGTGCGGCGCGGCGTCCGGTTTCTTTTCGTTACTGCCACGAGATTCATAAACATATACAGGATGTGTTTGTTCACTACACACAGTGGAATATTTTGAACAGAAAGGCTACCACTGCCTTCATAAGCGGTTTTGGGCGCTCGTTTAAATTTGATGATTTTTGAAGTACTTATAGTACTTGATATGAAAACCCTATACATATGTCATTTCTTAAACCTCTACAACAACTTCTGTAGGAGACAAAAGGTAAAATGCCATTTTCGATATTTACTCATAACTTTTGTTCATGTTAGTATTTTCCTTTCAACTTTCGCGTTATTACTAATGCCTAAAGCCTTTATAAAACGAGGTATAGAAACATTCCCCCGCACCTTTCGTTTTTCAGTAATGGCAGTTTATATTTTTTAAGGCCGAATTTTTTTCTCTACCAAATTTTTTGTCACATATAATACCTTATAATGTAAGACGTAAATCTAGCACCGCGTTCGTTTCACACCGCCGCGGTGGTGGCCGAGAGCCGTTGCATAAATAAATACAGGCCGGCGGCGGCGAACGATTTCCGGGAACGAGTGATAAAGGCGAGATCAAGGAAGAGCCGAAAATCAATCGCGGGATGAAGGCATTCCTCGTCCAGTCGCCTTGCCGCGAGAACGCAGAAACGTTATATACACGCTACATTTAATATCATCATTCCATATTATTATAATATAAACGAGTGAGATACTGAAATATCAAACTACCCCTTCTATTACACCCTACAATAATTGCCTTTACAGAATGAAACGGGTTTGAATCAAATCGGAGTTGCACATGCGTACTTTTCAAATTAAAATTAAAATACAGAGTTTTTCAAAAACAGTGCATAAGAAAATTCCTTGTACGAAATCAAATGAAAAATCCATTTACCTTTTTGAAGATGAGTATTCCCTGTGCGTGCGTGCATGTCACACACGCGCTTTCCTGGCCGTAAACAACGTGCTGTCACTTGTTTGCAAACTCATGTACCCTGAGTTGCATTGACCTTGTCGCAGTGAAGTTGGCTACAAATTCACTAACACATTCACGCCGCGTCGGTGAGTCTATCTCGCCCATCGTCTCACCGACGCGGCGTGAATGTGTTAGTGAATTTGTAGCCAACTTCACTGCGACAAGTTCAATGCAACTCAGTAGTCAGTAGGTACTATGCAGACTTATTTATTTTTACGTATAGGGAGAGTTCCCCTAGTACCGGATCAAATAAGTAAAACAAATATTGATATATTTTTACTTTATTTTGCATTAAGTACAAGTTAACATTAATAGATATTAAAATATAGTAACAAAACAAGTAACATTAATTTAGGTTATTGATTTGAATGAAGTGGAGAGTGGCACCTAATATCGGATATATCAAATATGTTTAAATTATTGTACGATAATACTAAAATAATTTACGACGATCACATGTATAATCATCAGAACATTCTGGTATATCGGCACAAGCTTCGTGAGCCCATTCTTGACACTTTAAGCATTGTATCCAGTCCTCGTCATTCGTCTCCAAACAAACCACACGAAGAGTTTTTTCGTTTATATCTTCCGGTTTCACTGCTTTGGTTTTCTTTATTTTCTTTTTTACTGTTAAGTCATATGCCAGCTTTAAAAATTCTCTTTTCGTCAGTGGCAAACACCGATTACCTACGTCTTTTATATGATTTACCAATTGATTTTCATATTCTACTGGAAAAATTGTGGTAAATGCACCTAGCTTAGGTTTTAATATTATTTCTTTCCCAGACTTTAAAGCCGTTATCTTATCAGATAATGTGCTTTCTGGGATACTGTATTTTAAAGATGCTTCTCTCAAGCTCATTTTTCTTGCAATAACTTTGTTAATTGCAGTTTTCAAATCCTCTTCATTCCAAAAACTCCGATGCTAGGGGACAATGAACCCATTGAAAACCAGTCTACCGTATACAAAAAACAAAAAGTAAATGAAACAGTACTTACAAGAATTTACAATAACACTACTCACGACTTTCTCTCACAAAATTGTGGTAAATACAACACTCTTTATTTCAAACAATGCACTGCTTTGAATTTGAATGTCAACGATTAACTGATTTTACTGCCTATGGAGACGCGATAGAAGCGAGTAAATGTTGCACGTTGTTTGTTTTATCCTCTCCTTTGTTTTGACGGTTGAAACAATTTTGTCACATTTCAGTTCTTTTAGATATAGCTAATGTCCGACTAGCAAGGAAGGGTTTTTAGGTGTCCGCCTCCGATTGTTTTGATTTTTGGATATGTTTTAAAGGACCGAAAAGTAAGGTATACGTATTTTTTTATTTTTGCCCGTTTTCATATTTAGAGGGTGAAACGACCCCCTGAAGTTTCGGCTACAATAGGCTATCTCGGAAACTATTATAGATAGAAAAAAACTTTCGAAGGAAAAGTTTCATGGTTTTTCATGAACATATAACAGCAGGTCATAAATTTTGTAAAAAATAATTTGTTTATAACATTATTTTAAAAGTAATCATAACTTACATAATAACAAAAAAGAAACATAAATTTGTTTCTGAATCCATTGATGTATTATATGCTATGTTTGCCTTTTACATTTTTGCATATTTTAAAATAAAATATGCATCGTTCACATACACCGGGTCGCGGTCATACCAGATATGGATGTACGGTTAATATCCATTACGATATCTAACGTTTACCATGTATACTAGGCATTAATACAGTTATTTAAAGCTTACAATATTAATAACAATTATATTAGTACATATCTATGTATTAATATGCGATATGTAAATTAATTTCCGGTACTAGTAACATGATTGGTGCAATTATATTTCACGTGTATGTTAGGTATGCATATGTGATATAAATTTATAATCTGAAGCTTTTATAAGATACATGCAGTTTACAAAATGGTTCACTTAATATTCATATTTGTCGCAGAAGTGATATTCATGAAAAAAATGTTTTAAACAAAATGCTTTTTTACACCAAGAGCATCTAATTACCGGTATTGTGCGTTCTGTTCAAAAGCAAAATCTACAGGATTCACAAAATCTCCTGATTCTTTTTCTGTGTATCCACTTTTGTACCAAGCATACTGGAATAGATTTTTATATCTTGGTGAAGACAGTTGATTGTGTACAAGTGATTGTAACTTAATTATATTATTTCTTAAATAAAAATTAACATCGTAATCATGTAACAGCACATCATCGAAGAAACATAATTCTTCCACACCCTAAATCCATAAACATCTAGAGGTTGGATTCGGCCAGTGGTACCTTTTGGTATCTTAATTATAATTTCTTTACCCGTTGGTTTCGCATTATGTATATCTTGTTCAAAGTGTCCACTTCAAGAGTATAATAACAACACAGACGTTGTTTTAGTATTAGGAAAAAAGACCTCTTTCAACCAGATTTTGAAATGAGCTACAATATTAAATTGAAATCTTTAATAATTATACACATGTGTATTGGTAGTTATCAATCAAAAATAATTTCAAGGTATTGGTTACCAGAAGTGAGTTTCCCAGATTTTGATGCAGTCACGTACACATTAGTCGGTTTGAATAATGTTTTTTGAACTATTGGTCCAAATTGTCCATTTGCTTCTTACAAAAACACAAAAAGGGGCGACAATAATCTTCCATCAGCAGTTATTATTGGTTGTATTGTGTAACTATGCGTTGTTCAATGTACAGATTGTACAACACGCTCTACTTTCTATTGGCTTTTCACCGCTAAAGTTCGTCCAGAATGTATTTCTAATTGAATTGTACATATTTTCATCTCCGTATCTCGTAATCAAAGGGTTTACTTCATTGACAATGTCTGTAGCTTTAACTTTCAATACTTCATCGTCTTCTATTGCCTTTCGTGTTACAAATTTTGTTATTTTTCGAGAAACAATACGATGAGTTTTTTTTTAAATTATACAGCCATGTTTTGGAAGCTTAAAATGTCATATGATCGTTACCTTGTTCTTTATATGCTTGCACAGCCCATCGTCGAATATTTCTATCATGCAAAATATAACCGGATTCAATAGCTTTTTTCATATTTGTTATCACGAACTCGGAAATTTGAGCTAATCTTTCTTTTTTAGTTCCACTTGTTTCAATTTTATGAGCCCATCTTCGTAATTGCCGTTCAGAAGACACAAGTCTAAAATTATGTTGAACGGTAGCAAGTTTACGTCTTTTTTTCCCCTCTGTCCAAAACGCAACTGCTTTCCGTTTGTAATCAACATCAACATCTTCATCACGCTGTGAACAAACTCCAATATGTGTCTCCCCAGACCAATTTTCGTCTGCATCATAATGTTCTTCAACAGACTCAACCTCACATTCTTTAAATTGATCCAAAAAGTCCAATGACGATTCTTCAGAAACTTCAATTTCATTAAATACAAATATGTTATCAAGCAACATTTTTTAAATGGTTTCTTTCAATTGTACTTCCTCTCTTGTTAAAGGAATATCCATTAGGTACATCGTTTGAAATGTTGCTAATAGCAAATTATGTAATCACGTTCATCGGATTGATAATCATTTTTAACCGAATTCGAAAAGGAGTAGGTTACTCAATTCGATCAGTATATATGTTTTTTTGTTTTGTTTTTTTTCTGTGTGTGTTCACCGATTACTCCGAGATGAATGGACCAATCGGAACGAAATCTTTACATCTTGTAAGGTATGTCTTCCGATTACAAAAAAATTGTTCATTTTTTCATTGTTATTGTAAAATACAGGAAGTTTTTAATCTCAAGATTGGATGATTTCAATGACCTTTTAATATGCTGTCGGGGGCATGATTCTGAACAACTATTTCATTATGCATAATTAACGGAAAGTTTTAGTTTCCGAGATATTCGTGAAAAAGTATTGTTACTACTACATTGAATTCTACGTATGCTACGTGTCTCTACCGGTGTATGAGTCAGCATGCAGTCGCCGATTCTCTACTGTTTCATGTAAGTATACATATGTAACTGTGAAACACCGAAATTTGTGAATTTTCCAGCAAATGTCGATACATACCAAATACGTCGACGAAAGACCGAATATTTCTCAATATTATTATACATTCGGACCTTCGCCGGCAGGTGTCGACAAATATAGTTGAGCTCTGGTGAATGTCGGACGACACGTCTGAACAGGATTATCCCGTCGCACAGTGGTCCAGGAACCCGCTTTTCGTGGCCAAAATTAAAAACGTCTCTAAATCGACGTTTGACCAAATATAATAAATTGTATAATTAATAGAACTAAAATACAACTAAGCAAGTGCAAAAATATAATTGTTTTTAATTTTTTTTATTCTAATTCAGTATTATCTAAATATCTGAATATACGTAAAGTTGATTCGTCCTGTTCTTGATCTGAATCCTCTTCGCTAGTTATATCTTGTGATAAATTAGATCAAATGCTTATAACAAATTAAAATTATGTTCTAACAAATTTAATTACATAGAATATTAAGAATAATTATAATAAATGGAAACTACATGCTACACTATATTACACTTTGATATATAAACAAAAAAGTAAAAATAAAAAATACGTTTAATATGCATAACTATAATAAAATTATACTAAATTTACATTTTTTATTACTGATGTTTTCCCTAGCACGTTGACTAAAAGACGACTACGGCGATGAAGCTGAAATACGTCTCCAAATGATTATTATCTCGTGTTTATAAAAATTAATACTAACAAGAGATAAGAGTCTGGCAAAGAAAACGTTTCGTATTACTATAGACAGAAGTCACTTCAGCCCGAGCGATACGTATGCTGCCGCGGTGGCCGCAACGTTAAGCCGGGTATCCACCGGTATCAAACGCCCGTATCGTATCACCGTTCCGAACCCTTTTGAATAGGCAGGCGTTGCCTCGTTGCATGCAACGGCGTGCTGCGGCTCGGACAACATTTCTTCGTTTCTTGATATGTAGAAACGGTTAGGCAATAGGACTGGGCCACTACAGGCGAGAAGTTCCAAAGGAACGGAGGCAACGGACCCATCCGAAAAATTTGTCGATTCTTTGCCGTTCCATCGAAGGAAAAGTTCATGCGTTTGCACTTGACATAGCGTTTCGTGCCATCACTTGGGTTTCAATTTATTTGAAATCTTGTAGTATTATTGGATTCATTTCAAAATCGATGAAATTATTTATGAACTTAATCTAATTTGTCCGGGCCGTAGCACGTCGCGGCATGCAACGAGGCAACGCCTGCCTATTCAAAAGGGTTCGGAACGGTGATACGATACGGGCGTTTGATACCGGTGGATACCCGGCTTTAGAATATCTAGAGCGTTCATTTATTGAAATTCGTATAAATTTAAAAGTTGAGGAATGTTGAACCTAAAATTTATATACATTTAAAGAAAGGTTTAAGCTTTCTTTTAAAACAAATCTGGTAGCTAGCACTTTTAAGCATTTTTTTAAAACCATCCGCAAAGTTTCAATTGTTGTAAACATTGCATTATTAATACATAAGTTAAAGAACACTTCCGACGCAATTGAATAATCAAAATAGAACTACTAATATACATAAAGTTGTTCTCAAAAACTATTATTTGATGATGTATAATGAATACTTACAAAAATTAGTTTCACTTCGAATTTCGGAATTTTGACTTCAGCATGTTGTACACAATCGTCCAAAATAAACATTATTTTGGATTTCATAGTTTTAAAGTGTTCTTACTTTGTAGGTAAAAAATTTTTGCAAAACATTAAACTTGAAAAATTGAATTTTGGCCACGAAAAACCGGTTCCTGGACTACTGCGTCGTCTAGCGCAACACGAGGTGTGTTATGTTGTTGATGTTCGTCAGTTTCATTAACCTACCCTAACCTTCTCTTATTATTATTTTTTATAATAAATCATGATATACAAATTTTTATTTTGTTTGAATTAAAATCGACATTCGCATACTGATTGTCGACATTCATCGGTGTAAGTGAGAAATAATGATATTTGGCAAATATTTCGGACATACATAAATCGACTTGGTGAATGTTGATATTTATTGGAGGACGGTAACATATACCCTGCAAGGTATGTACCGATTGCGATGAAACCTTTCACATCTAATAGGAGATATTTCTACGATATCTTACTTGCAAAAATTTATGCAATTTGTTATTGTTGTTACGAGCCGGAGGGGGCGGCTACTTAGCCGGGACTTAATTTAGGTATATGGTATTTGTTAATGGCTTGACCAGTGTTGTTATTAACACTGGGAGCCTAAGGAAGTAAACGTGGAGACGAACCTTCGTATGGCTAACGTAGGGAGCTCCAGGAGGTTGGCTATAGTGGACGAACCTACGTATGGCTAACGTAGGGAGCCACAGGAAAGGTGTAGAGTGGAGGACGAACCTACGTATGGCTAACGTAGGGAGCCTCAGGAGCGTGATATGCGGACGAACCTACGTATGGCTAACGTAGGGAGCCGCAGGAAGCGTTAGTATTAGGTCTCGTAACTTGATTGATGTACCTCGAGCGGTAAAGGTACACCTTAGTGGGTTTCTGGATAGTAAATATAATTGAATAATAGAATGTAAGTTAAAAATAATGTGAGTTTATTCTCTATTCCGGGACTTTACAATTGTTGTGTGTAATTGTCGCGGTGTTCGATGAATTAAACTCTAGGTTGCAAGTTTAAATGAGTTGAATAAATAGAAATTAGTTTCGATTCCGCGAAGCAAGAATCTAATCCTTCTCGGTTTTCACGAACGCGAGCAAACGGGGGCGGACTACAACGATTAAAATAATGCTTAACAGCAGACAACGTACTGTATAGTTACTGTGAGTGTTTGAAGGGGACTTGAATACCCGATCTCGCAGAGTTTCCTCGTTGCAGAGATTATCCGTAAAAGAACGTACTGACGTGTAACGAACTGATTCTAGACTTCAACTAGACCCGAGGTGTCCTTGTCGCTACCCTTTTTATACTCAAAAATTAGAGTAAAAGAGTGGTGGGGACTGACTCTACGTGACCCGTAGGACCGCGCCCTTGCTTTGCGTTGGTCTCGAATTTTCTAGAAGACGGTTGGTGTCGGGTGTACCCATCCGATTCCATATAAGGAAATTTTTTGAGAAGGCTTTGTAACACCATATAAGGAAATTTCCGAGACGGATACGTAACATTGTTAATAACTATTGTTATAACAAAAACCCTATTCCTTGGTGTTACTTTGCACGGAATGTACCGATCGCGATGAAACCTTTCGCATCTAATAAGAGATACATATTTCCGCGATGATCCCCCTTGCAAAAATGTATGGAACTTACTATCGTTAAAAACTATCGTTATTGCAATTAACCAATAAGAACGGTAAACCACCTTACGGCATCCTACAGATACTGCTTGTTCCACTAAAAACTGTAAAATAAAATAATTTTTAACAAAAAATCCAACCGACTTCGAAATGCACTAAAAAGTATGAAATAATTTCTATTTCATTTATACAAATACCCAACAGCTATTAATAAAACCTATTTACTCGTTAAATAGTATACTAAATACATTTCAACCTTTTCGGAGGCGGCGCAAAATTAAAAATACCCGAATATACGATACTCCCAATAACGATTTGATAGGTTGCCGACGCCTGAACTAGGATCTTCTTAGTAGAAGAAAAGTTTTTAATTTGACTAAAGAACTAACCAACTGTCGGGGTATAAGTAGCAAAGCTTCGCAAAATATAACGCATGACTTGATAAACTGCTATTGTTAAGCGTACAAAAATATCAAGTGACTCGAGAACGTGAGTGGCAAAACTTCTGAAGAAAGTGCAAAGTGCATGAATGATGGTTTGAAGAACTACACTCCGCAAAACAATTAAGGGATCACCTCTACGAACCCGAAAAATAGGACGAGATTCAGATGATTATAATTTTGAGAAAAATGGTCGAATCGATATCACGGAATGATCATTTGAAGCTGTGAAATCTCTATTTTCAGATCCTCTTTTAAGATTTTAACTATGTTGAATTTTATAAAAGTTATAGTGATGTAAGTAGCACTTCGAAACTTTTTAAAATTTTTGTTCAACTTTGTAACGTTGCATGGCACTAACAAAATGTTTTAGCAAGTTGCATTTGTACCAGTCGAAAGCGACTACCTTCCTGTGTAAAATCAGTATTTGTTGGTTGTTGTACGATTTTTTTTGGCTAAGTTATTTAATTTTGAAGTAAAAGTCGTCCTTTTGACTTTAACCGCTCCTAGAAAGCGATCAAATCATCGTAGATCATTCGGTAAAGAAGCAGTAGAAAGAGCACATTTTTCTCTTTAAGATGAGTCTCTTGCTTTTTCATTTTGATGAACATTTTGATGTACCAGGTCTTTTTAGCGACATGCTTCAAAATCGCACAATTACCATTTTATCTTTAACTGGCTGAATCTCGGCAAAGATAGTCGCAGTATCATGGTCTTCAGATCATTTTAAAGCAGAGAATTTGCCGATTCGATTGAGCCCCAAGCGAATGCAGTGTGATAATCTTTTACCTTGTTATTTATTTTTAAAATAACGTTATAAGCAAATTATTTTTTATAAAATTTATGACCAGCTGTTATATGTTCATAAAAAACCATCAAACTTTTCCTTCGAAAGTTTTCTTCTATCTATGATAGTTTTCGAGATAGCCTATTGTAACCGAAACTTTAAGGGGTCGTTTCACCCCCTAAATATGGAAACGGGTAAAAATAAAAAAATACGTGTACCTTATTTTTCGGGCCTTTAAAACATATCCAAAAATCAAAACAATCGGAGGCGGATACCTAAAAACCCTTCCATTGTGTATTCTTATGTAATTAATAATTTAAAAAAAAGATGATTTTATGAAAAAAAAATTGGATGAGAAAAAAGTTTCCAGCAGTTCCGTACCGACAACGTTAAAAAAGTGTCTAATACTTTGAAAGATAAGATGTGTAATTTTCAATTATTTACAATAACTTTGCTCTCTCCATTCAGATCTTGCTCCATCCAGTGCAAAAGGTTAGAAATCACATAATATTTTAAGTGCCTAAAGGAAATGTAAAAATTGAAAGTATTTCCCATGTTATCGCACGAAATATGTCGAAAATATCGGTTTTTGATTTTTTTAAACACGACGTATCAGACTGAAAAATCTGAAAAAAATTGAGGACATCATGCTAATATCTAACTACTGTAAAAGTAAAAATCTAGTGTTCTATCCGAAATCTTGATTTCTCGATTTTTCACGTCTAGCATTAGTAACCAAAAAATCTGAAAAAATTCACACTTGGACGCGTACAAGTCTAGAATATTCTGGAATTTTTTCAGATTTTTTCAATACCACTAAATAGGGAAAATATGGCAAAAACCAATTTTTCTACCCTCTTACCCTCTCGCCCTTTACCCTTTACACTGTAACTACCCTCTCGGTTGAGATACAGGGTTGAAACTTGATGGTTCTACACCTCTGGATCGGTGCAAATCTGTAAAAGAAAGTGACCGCAAAATTAACCTTGATCTCTAATTTCAAGGTCAAATTTTTTTATCGACTTATCGTATAGTGCTCGTCTAGGAGATAAAAAATCTGGAAGGAACCATGTGCCGGAAATCAACCGTTCCCCTAGAACAGGCCTGTCCAAGTAGGGGAAATTACTCCTGGAACACATGTTTTTGGTCCCCTTCCAACGCTGGCTCTTTTAAGTAAGGTGGGACGGTTCCGACTACCGTCTCTCCGTCTTTCCTACCCTCTTTGGTAGTCGGATCCGTCCCATCTTACTTGAAGGAGCAGCGTTGGAAGGGAACCCAAAACATGTGTTCCAGGAGTGGATTCCCCTACTTGGACAGGCCTGCCCTAGAAAAAAAACCGTCAAAGTTCCCCCATACGTTTCCCCTCTTTCCAGTAACCTCGGCGCGTCTGTTCGCGTATCGCTCGAATTTGATGTTATAAGACAATTCTTAAATTTCAATCACAATGCCAGCATATAGGAAAGGTAAATTCTAAGGGATCATATTTAAAAACACAAAATAGCTACTGCGCTCAAAAGAAAATAAAAATGAATTTAATTCAAACATTCGTAACATGATATAAGTATGATAACAAATGATATAAGTAATATAATATGTATATAAGTAACATTAGTAATGCTGATCCGTTAAATCTTTTATGTCGCTCGACCTCCAAACATAAAGAAAGAAGGAAAGAAATAAGTAAGAAAGAAGGAAATAGGAAAGAAAGAAAGTAAGAACGAGGAGAAGATTAACGGAAAGAAAGGAAAAAGGAAACAAGCAGACAGCAAGAAAAAGTGGAAGAACGAGAAAATAAAATGCTTAGTGGGGAAGCTGGGGTGACCTGTTACTAAATAGAGCCGATGCTTTCAACCTTGTATTCGACTACAAAATATACGCACGTTATAAATAGCGAGTAATTCGATTTTTCGTTCCTCGATTAACAATCTTTGGATCTATATTCTAAATACAAAACTTCTGCGAATAAAATTCATTTATGTTGTCTTTTGCAAATTGCAACCATAATCAATATAATGTAAGCGTATAACTGCGACATTACCGGGTTCGGGAATATTCTCGAAGTTCCCTTGTCTCCCCACCACTAAGCATATATGTATATACATATCTATACATATATGCGACGCGTCTGAAGCAGATAAGAGAGAGATTCCGAGACAACGACATATTGTAACGGCACGATCCGGTTCTGGGTGTTCGATACATAATTAAACTTTTGCATCCTGACAAAGAGACGAGTTTATTTAAGACGCCCAATTCCTATTACGACCGGAGAATATTATCCTTTTTCTTCTACAATAACGATATATTTCACGAGATTCGAATGTTGGATGCAGTCCTTATTAACTGCGCAACTGCGGTGTGAAATGATAAAACTAGATGTTTATTTTGCGTTTATATTCGAAATGCAAAACTTCAGTAAATTAAATTCATTTTTATTTTATTTTGAACGCAGTAGCTATTTTGTGTTTTTAAATATGCTCTCTTAGAATTTACCTTTCCTGTATGCTGGCATTGTGATTGAAATTTAAGAATGGTCTTATAGCATCAAATTCGAGCGATATGCGAGACAGACGCGCCGAGGTCACTGGAAAGAGGTACCGCTTGACTCAACGTTTAATCATTAACGTATGGGGAAACTTTGATGACTTTTTTCTAGAGGAACGGTTGATTTCTGGCACATGGTTGCTTTCAGACTTTTTATCCGCTCGACGAGCACCATACGATAAGCCAATAAAAAAATTTGACCTTGAAATTAGGCGTCAAGATTTCTTTGCAGATTTCCACCGATCCAGAGGTATAGAATCACCCTACGTGGTCCGTGACATTTCGTTTTTTAGTACGCTATAAAATGATGCATAGCTCAATAAAATCGGCTCAAGGACCCTTTTAACCATCTTATCCTACTGTACCCTTTACTACCACCAATGTTTCTTGTATAGTAATCATTTCTATGACTAAACCGATGTTTAACAATTAATTTTTATAATGAAAAGAAATTAAAAAGATTGAAAACTTTCGATCCTTCATTCTGCAGAGAAGGTATATGTATGTATATATAATAATTAAGGATCCAATGTTTGTTTGCATGCATATAAATATACATACTTTATTGCACTTGATCTTGGGATATTTTGAAATAATTGAAATATTTCAGTAATAACTTCTCTATTATCTACTTTATTGTAATACAATTATGTAACAGTAAATGACATATTTCTTGCAATAACTTCCATATTAAAAATTAGTTAATACTTTTAAAATACGCGCTAATAAGTAATACTCGTTTTCTGAATTTATTAAAAGAAAGCTGACCATACGTTTACGTTAGGATCTATTATTTTTAAAAATCGATAATTATAGTTATAACATTAATAGTAAAAATATCCAATAAATTTGTTCTGATTTCATTTTTACAAGTTTCTCACCTTTTAATGACTGTGTATCGCGGTTAAACTCTTAAGAAATACTTAATGTATATTGGAACACAAATTGGTTATTGGGTAGTATAATTAATAATGATATTACTTAAATAACTACATTACCGAAACCTGCTTTATACATTACATTATAAAAAAGGGGGTAATTCCAAATGATTTGTGGTGAGATTAAATAACAGAGAAACAATTACATCATCAGAATTAATTGACATAATTATATGTATTTGTCAACATGAGCAAATCAAACATTTAATTGGAATCAGTACAAAATACATAATTGAAAATAATAATCGACATTTTTTATTAAAGGAAAGTTATAATGTTTTTCACTGGGTAAAAAGGAAAAGCAAATATGTATTACTTTTTTATATGATAGGAACTCTGAATTCTCAATCTCATTTTTATGAATTTCTAACTTTGTTCTGTTAATTACTCACTGTTCATATTATTAGCTTACTTATAAAATTATAAATTTATTACTTAGAATCTTAATTTATTTGTAAAATATGGTATAAATTTAATTAAAATAATGCAATAAATACACTTTTATTTATCACTTTTAAAATTCATAAAATATTTTTCCCTTGGATGTAACTACCTCAAAATATGTTTGAAGCTTGATATTCAATGAACTGTATAAACAAATTATATGACTTAAACATTAATTTTATAAAACACATTATTAAAATATACACTTTTAAATTTCATGTTAATCTATGCTTTAAAATAAAAATTCTCCTAATTTAGCAAAATCATGATTAAACAAATCAGAATTAGTAAAAAGTATTATTAATTTGTGATTTTTATTTAAAAATAAAAAATGGTAATACATTTAAGAATTTATATGACATACCATACATAATTAAATAATGAGTTCCAATGCAAAATAGATGTGCTGAATAGAAGATAATAGACGTATTCAGAATCAGATACAAATAAACCCTTCAAAAAAAATATAGTAAATAATTTGTTAACATGGGCTTAGAATAGATATATTATTACTTCATTTGGGTTATTATATAATTTTGCATGCATACATATGAATGAACTATGTATAATACGTATGCTCTTAAATATTATTTGCAATACATTATATTATAATTAGTTTTTAGCATTTTTAAAAGTGACAAAAATACATTTACTTTTATATGCAAGCTTTAGGTAATACATATTGTAATGGTAATTCATATCTTCCAGGTTAAAACACATTGAAATTATACTGTTTCCTTAACTCAATCAAATTCTCGCATGTTCATCAGTTTGTAATTAATAGTGCATTATTGGTTTTAATAAATTATTTATAAAAAGGAAGAAAATCTTCAAAATAAACTATTAATCGTATGATATATCCTTAACTAACCAGACTTTTGTATAAATTAAACTTTAATACTTTCACTATAACTGAAAATAATATAATAAATTGAAACAAAATATTTTTTACAGCATTGATATTTCTAGATAATTTGGAAAATATATATCTATCAAATCATACCTATCTTTCGAATGGTATATTGTAAAATTTTAGTATTATATTGTATAACAATTATGTAACTTTTACTATATTTCTATTTGTGGAAAGTACTATGCAGTATGTTTTTAGTACATACAAGATGTCTGTTAAAAGTTATACACCATGACCACTGTAGACTTTCCGTGTTAAAATAAACTAAAGTTTTCTACTATGATTTAAAGAAGATACACCAGAAATATAGAGCAGCAGATTGCAAAAATGGTAAAGAACCATGCAATTTATTTTGATATGAAAAATCTACAATTTTCACAGTGTACAAACTTTCTAAAACACTTTCTATACTGGTATGTACCACTCCACCAGCTTTTCCTTTGAATATTATCGACTGCGACATGTACACTAATTATTTAAATTACCTTTATAACTAATAAGTAGTACATATGTCAAACTTTCCTTTTACGTAATTTCGCTTTTGCTTCTTTTAGTAATAGATCGAATGTGTTGTCTTCATTACTTTGAAGTTCACTGCCAAATGAATCGCTGGGCATGCCATCTGTAAAAAATAATGTCATGTCTATTTAAAAAATCAGTATAATTCTTCTCGAAATACATTAACTTGTGTTTAAAATATTTTTCAAAAACATTTAAGAACATCAGAATTATTTCTATTGCTGCTGAAAGTAATAAAAACATAACTGCCCCCCCCCCCCCCCCCCCCCCCCCCCCCCCGATTATTTTAAATGTCATTTCAATATTATCCACTGTTACAGGAATTTCACAATAAATGATTTTCAAAACTTTCCTGATTTGTTATACTTTATAAAACTGTATAATGAAATTGTTAAACTTTATTATTTAAATAAACATTTCTCACCCCAACACTCCTAACACTTTGATCTAATTATTAGGGCCACTAATATTCAATAGGCGTTGTTTTATGTATTAAATACGAATTTTCAAAAATTGGAAATACTGAGGAGGAACGGTTTTATGAAAAATGGCAACTGGATATGAGTGGCCTAATAAAATGTTAAAATTTGTTGAATAGTGTTATATAAAATTATTTGACTTTATTATATTTGTTACGTAATAAGGTTATAAATATATCCTTACCTAGATCTGCGTATTTTACTTTACAAAATGCTCTGCGACCACCGAAACATAAATCGTATCTTGGTAAAGTGGGATTATCGTTACCATGTTCTACAGCTTCATATGCATCATTTTTGTAAGCAAATGTTACAAAACCATAATTATCACTGAAAGATGAAATGAAAGGTTCAGATATTTTACTTTTTATAGTTAAATTTACATTTAACATTTTAACAGGTATTTGAGATTGTAAAATAGAATATCAGATAATTTACCCATGTTCACGAAAATGCACACTGATATCTACTACAGGACCGAAAACTTCGAATCTTCTACGCAGATCAGCTTTAGTGATTCCTTCCTCTAAACGTCCAACATAAATTACTCTTCTCTCTTCAACTTGTCTTTGTTTTTCTCGATCATACCAATGATCGTATGGTCGTCGATAGGAACTCGACGACGATCTACTGAAATAAAAACCACGAAACATCAATCTACAGTTGATAAATACAATAATACTCAATTATAAGGATCGATTAACCACGTTAGATCAGCTTCCGAAAGTTATCTCAATTAGTTGTAAAAATATCATAAATGTGTTGTAGTCACCTTCTCCAATCTCCATAATCGCGATAGCTGTTTGTTGAATGTTGGCTATCCCTATCGTAGCTTCTATGATACTTTTTACCTTGCCTTCTTTTCCTTCTTGACCATCTATTTCTCCCAAAGTTCGAGTGAGATGAAGACCTGTAAATGCGTTATATGCGTAAATATGTATCTAAATACTTGGGTTTATAATATACAATACCTATTTAATAAATATATACCTAGAACAACTAGAATATCGGGAAGATGATCGAGATCTTGATCTAGACAATCTAGAACGTGACCGAGAGTAGCTCGACTCTGAGCTGAGAGAAGATCTTGTGTTTGAGCGTGAACGTGAACGTGATCGTGAACGTGAACGTGAACGTGATGACCAACTACTGCTTGAACTAACTGAGCTACGGCGATGACTTATTCTTCGATGACGTGTATTATTACGTTTATATGATCTACTTCGATTACTGCTACTTCTGCTCCTACTTCTACTTTTGCTTTTACTATTACTTCTCGATCTAGATCGGCTTGAGCTAGAACTAATTCTCTGCTTCTTACAAGGTTGTTGACTTTTCTCTCGTATCGACCTTTCCCTGAAAATCATGAAACGTTAATATATTTTCTTAACATAATTAAATAAATTTTTATTGCTATACAACAAACGCAACGTATCCAATTTATTTGAGGAAAATAGTTTAATATTTCGGAAAATATAAAAAATATTTTAGATTAAAGCTGTAGGGTATCAATCAGAACAAATCGTACTGCCATTTGTTTGACGTAACGATAATTTTAAAAAAGCCTTCTGAAAATAGTATTTATTTACATTTTTAAACTGAAGCCACCCTTTCTTCATTAGACATTCTTACACGGTTTTCGAGATAAGACTTTAAATATCTTTGAAACCATTTTTAAATGCACTCATATTTGTCCCTTTGCGATCAATTAAACGTAATGTAAAAATAATATTAATATTTTTAGTTGTTAACAAAGTAAACAACTAATAAATCCGACAAAAAATATTCAAATTGAAGTTAAAAAAGGAAAATGTGTGATAAATACATCATAATAACAGTATTTTATAACAAAAATACTGTTTAATTTTTAATTAAGTATTTCTTTTCATCAATAATCCATACACGATGGGTATATGGATGCTCTTTTAGTCCTTAAGAGATATCAAACGTTGAATACAACTTTGTATACAATTAACTGATCTTTGTCAGGAGGTCAAATTAATTTTGTATAATTCAAATGTACATTATATAGTGATAAAGTATTTCCAAATAAATACACTGTTGTCCTATTAATTGACCGAGGCTCTGGATTATACCTCCCCAATTATCAAGAAATACTAATACTGATGTTTGTTTACTTTATGTATGGAAAATTTACCTACTCGTACCAGCAGTATGTGTATAAAATTTCAACTTGATCTTTATACCTTCTGTTCTGAATTTGAACATTAATAATGTTGATTATAACAAGAGACACGTATAGATCTAGTCTTTCTGTAATTATATAGCTTTCTGCTTACTTTATGTTTGATGCAAAGTGATCCAGAACCTACTACACGAAGATGACTACACTTCAGGTTCCTTTCAAATCCTACCCAACCACATAAAACTGATTTGAAGATCAGCAGCTGTCTGATATTCCAATTTTGGAGTTTTGTAAGTAACCATGCCTTGGGTGTAGAACATATAATTAAGCAAGTAATGAAAGCATCAATTGCAAAATATAACTGAGAATCGTGATACACAATGATCAACGTTACAATCAGAGAAAACTTTCTAGTATTTAGAAACAAAATCTAAATACTAGAACCCAATTAAAAAGGACAATGCTTCAGATTCATCCTACAATGTGTTCTATATAGTTGGGTAATTAATTTGAAGAATACAACAATGCTCCTAAACAATGGAATATGGTCAAAAACGCAACAGAAACGAAATTGTAAGTATTTTTACCATAACTAACATTTTGATGTGCTGGATTCAGATATAAGAAATTTACATTCAAGTTCAGAACAGAAGATATTATCCGATTGTGGATAACTGTTGTCACAAATCAATAAACAAATTGGTTTTTTACTCCAGCCTAAAACACGCTCTGTAAGATCAGTTTGAGGAACTGATATCAAAAGTATTATTCATTTTTTAGGACTACGATATAACAGTTTCATATATCATCCTGTATATTGGATAGTCTATGGAAATGTTAATATCTGAGTACTTAGCTTCCTAAATATACAGTTATAAAGGTATGTTTTGACAAGTAACGCATTACATATTTGATGAGCAAAATGTATTGACAGAAAATTCCTTTTTTAATCATTTTTGAATATCAAAGTCATTGACGTTTTCTTTAATGAGTAAACGTATTTATGCTATCATAATGTTATTAAAAAAAAAATTAATTCCGCAATGTAAACATGTTAACCTTGAAGGAAACTTTGATCCAAATAATCATGTTTCCAGAGGGAAAATAGAAGCCTTAGTCTTACTAGACGTTGTAATTAAAATACGGTCAGCCTCCAATATCCGCTGACGCAGAGATATTCAGTATCTCTGAACTTCTGCGATATTCTCTTAGGGTTGTACAACAGCAGAGAAAGAGGAACAAAATATAAATGTACAACATTAAAGTTGAATTTATCAACTAAACTTGAATGTCATTATGCACCTTAGCGTTCAGGGTTACCTACGGTTATAACGTAACTGTAGTAAGTTTTAAAACGTAATCCCACGGATACGGGGACCAACTATAATGCATTTTTAAATCTCTTAATCATGAAAACAGTTAGCTTTCCATTAAATTACAACAGATGTTTAAAATGATCGCTTTCAATATTAGTACACTGTTTAACTGTAAGCTAGAATGAATTCTTTCGTTCTAGTAAGTTTTCCTTTTTTAATAATTTAATAGAAAATGAATCATTTATTAAAATAATGTTTTACAAATTCATTATTTCTATTATTTTGATTAAATCAAGTAATAAGGCTTTTATTTTTCTTGTATAATTTTTTAGTTAAAAGTTTTCTGAAAATAAAAAAAATAAATAAAAATGAATTTTCTGTACACTGAAACATACTTTCATAGCTTTGTATGTAAGAAGATAAATATTTAGGTGTTCGAATTTTGTGAACAAATATCTCGTTAATTTCATGAAAATAAATCTAAAGTTTTCAAAATCAGCATTGTTTTGTTAAACGGCACTGTAGTTCTCTTGATACGATGTTATAACTAGCATCAAAGCAAATTCAATTAAAAGTAACCTTTCAATAATCCTATAGCATTTATGTTCAAATTAATTCGACGTTTCCTTTAATGTGGTAGTAGATTCAATCATTGAAATTGTTTTTCTTTTTAATCATAAATACACATACTTCTGATTGTAATGTTCACAATTTAAATATTGATAGCTCCTTGATTCATTTTGATAAGAATAACGGATTAGTTTTATTTACCGGTTTCGAAAAATTAGTATAGAAAGAGATAGTATAGATAGTATAAAACACTTTCAATGATTTAGTTAATATTTAGAAATAATTTTTTTTTAAACTTTCAAATTACAGTAGTTTCTAACAAAGCGAAATGAAATATCCCTTAAATAGTGTTATGTGCTTTGTCATGTTCACTATTTTCATTCATTATTTACAATGAACTACCAATAAATGAATCAATGAGCCATTAAAGTAAGAAAATCTAAAGCGTTAAAAAATTAATTCGCTATAATTATTGATATTCTTACTACGAAAATGATTACAAAGCTAACTGTATTCAAATAACTTTAATTTATGTCTGTAAATGTAACTATTTTAGTCAAATTTGTTCTGAGAGAATACTATAATTTGATTACAAATTCAATTAGTTGTAAATCGTTATTTATAAATTTATTTAATGTCAACTACAACATCATACCAAGAAAAATATTAATGATTTTGTAAGCTTAAAAGACGTCTTGAAATAGTTTTTAAGATATTTTTTTGTATCTTTAGAAACGACAATAGAAAAATGTACAGGACTTCTTAACATAAACCAGATTTTGCATAAAATAATTATGCAATGATTAACCCCTACTTAAAACAAAGAGTGGTAAGAACAATTTAATAAATACTAGTTAATCTATTTTATAAATTAACTATAAAATATTATTGCTTTAAATACACCCTGTGTTTTGTGTGACAAAAGATTTAAGCCCTTCTAGAAGGTGTATTTCTTTATACTTTTACCTCTATTTCTCTCACCTTTCATCAATACCAATTAAGGCGTTCTGAGGAAATTCAAATACTGTTTCGTAAGTTTGAATTCCTACATCACAAGTGGATGGTTTTGGAAGCACTTTTTTCTCATCTATTTCCGCCTTTGGTTTTAAAAGTGATACGATTTCTCTTTCTGACCAAATAGGATTTTGAGGATCATCTTTAATAGGTTCCGTTGTGGTAGACGCATGATGAATATATACTAATGTCATAGGCGACACTGGTGAATTTGTTCTACTATTATCACTACGATTCTGTTCTCTTCTACTTCTGTATTCTGCCAAATTTAATTTTTTACGGGGAGGTTTTTTGTTATTCTGCTGTACAAATGTCTTTTCCTCAGTTTGAACAATAATATTTTGTACTTGATCATTTAAACTATTAGTGGTAGTCACTACACTTTCATTAGAAGTAGTTATTAAAACTGGCGACTGTTGGACATTAGGTGGTTTCTTCAATACAGAAACCATTTGTTTCATTCTTTGATTACCTGTTGTTACAGATTCTGTTTTACTTAAAACACCTTGATTTAACTGCAAAATACTTGTTGCCAAAGCTGATTGAATTTTCATTTCATGTTTTGGAACATTTGCAGATTTACTCTGAACTTTATTAACAACAAAGTTTGATATATTAGTTGAAGTATCACTGTGTTGATAATTTCCTTGTTTCGATGATGTTTCCTTCTGACACTCTTTTATTCTATTTTGTATCTGTTTTACAGACTCGTTCGTTTGAACACCATTAACTATTGTAATTACTGATTGTTCTTCACTATTGTCACTTACTTCACCTGATTCCAAACCACTATCTTTCTTCAAACTGTTTTCAGTTAAACACTCTTTACTTTTTCTAACATTTTTATTTAAATGCGAAGAAAATGATTGTTTCTCGTACTCTGTGTAACAATAAAATAACTGCTGACTATCACCTTTTATCGAAACCACGTTTTCACTATCACTACATTGACTTTCATACTCACTGTTACTATCTGAACTACTAATGGAGGAATTTGTACTGCAATAATCATGATCCAGTTGGATTAGTCCACCATTAATAGATTTATTTTTATTATCATTTGTCACCTAGAAAAATATAATTATTGTATAATTTATATACCTCATGACCCAGTTCTCTTACTTTAAATAGTTTAAAGTTGTTTATTTGAGTACTAAATTAAAAAAAAAAATGTAAATATTATTCTAATTCATATACTCAACTACTTTTAAAAGTTTGTTTCGAAAAAGTGTCACAGCAGCATCTTGCATACGTGTTCCGTTGCTGCGACCATTACTTTGTGCATTAGGTATTGTTGATATTATTGAAATTCCTTTCTTATGTGCAGATGTCTAATATCACACAATATTATCAATTTCACTTTAATTATATTCTTGATAGTGATATTTTGTTAAATTTAATATTGAAATAATTACCTTTATTTTTTCAACCATTTCTTTAGGTAGAGCACTTCTAATATTTTTATGCAAATTCGAAATTCGCGATAATGATTTCTTTGGAGTAAAAGTAGGCGATTGTTTCATGTGCTGTTGAGTTTCCTTAGATTTCACACATACCTCTTGATCACGTTCTGTATTTATGTTAGACGATGAATAAAATGACATTGTATTTTCAGAAGCTTCAAATTGTTCGAGTAAACTTTTAACATCGCCAGCTTGTAAAACTGAAGTGAAAAAGAAGTAAGAATGATCATTTCATAGATGTTTATGTTTTATCAAACAAAAGTTTTATAATTACGCTAAATATACCTGGTAATTGATTTACAGAAGACTTATCATTGTTGTCATCACTATTGTGTGTATCTTTATTATACCGCAACTGTTTCTCTTTTCTTTTCTTCTTTTGTGTTGCATTAATGTCAATTCTTATATTTTTATATTTAGATACATTCTTCTTCATTTTACTCTGACCTTTTGCACATTTCGGTTCCTTTAATAGCGATGCACTTTCTACCTCTTTTTGCTTATTATCATTTTCTGCAAAAACATCTACTTTATTGTATATGTTTTTTTTTTTGTTACAGACTTTATAAAACAATAAAATATTATTTGCTTTGATACAAATAACTGTTAAGTAAATATTAAGATTAGATTAAATTAAATAAACCTGTTTTATTATCACTGATTTCTAAATCCAATATATTGTGAGAAATTTGATGTGATTCCTTTTCTAAATCCTCTTTGTTTGCCACAAGAAAATCAGATTCTACAGTATGTATTAACTCATCTTGAAGTACATTTTCTGAAGTACAGAAATTTTTTTTATCTATAGTGTTGATATTGAATCCTATAATATCCATGTATTCATCCATATCTGAAGACTAAGAAAGAAATATTAATAACTAAATAATAGAAATAATAAATAGATGAGATAAAGATTAATAAAAACCTGTAAGTAACCAATATGTTCCTGCCAATCGGTAAGAACTTTGGCAAAATCTTCTTTAATGCTATCAAGTTTAGAGTTTTCCAAAATGGATGTCTCACCCACACCATCGTCACATCTAAAATCGTATAACATATGAGATTTTGATCTCAAATTATAGGAAAACGTTGATACTTACTCGTGTTGATTATTCCATAAGCCATCAGAATTTGTAATATCGAGATGTGTTTCCATATAATCGAAATCATTTTCAACCATGTGCATTAACAAATCCTGAGGTTTTTCTACTACACTCTATTGAAAAGCAATATATTAAAATCTACTAAATATACAAGACAATTGAGAAACAAATATTATATTTTTATACTATTTACTTTGTCAATTTACTTCTCACTTATTACAATTTATTTTGAAGATAAAACATACACAAACATATTTTAAAATATATCTTTTAAGAATTATTATTGTTATTCTTATTATTACTTATTATCGTCTTTGAATAAATTATAAAATTATAAAAGATTAACTATTTCACTCCTTTTAAAGAACCAAGAATAACAAAAATTTGAATTCTACATGCCTCTTTTGAAGCCAGCATACATACATTCAATAAGATTTAATTTGTTACAATCAAATTTATCAATATGACAATGATAATATTAGAAAGTAAAATAAAATTATTAAAATCAACTGGATATGACATAAACAATCAGAAATGTATAATTTAATAAAATTATTATAAAGAAGTATTTGTAACATACTTATGCAGATGTAGATGCTACTGAAATAACAATTTTATGAAAATAATTGGATAGGTTACGATAGCACATATTGCTACTAAATATTGCCCTTAATTTTGTAAAAATACAACAGAGACAAATATTTTATCTTCAAAATAACATTAACAATAAAACATAAAATTGAATAACTATAATAAAAAATGAAAGGTTTGTTACCTGTTCCAAAGATAATGAAAAATCTGAAAAGTGTCCTTCATCATGAAAATTTAAGAATTCTGTTTCCATGACACAATTTTAAATACTATGTTTAAACTTTTTCTATAGCACCAGCCTGTAATTAAAACATTAAAAAATAGCATAAACAAAATGCTCAACACATTTGGTCCAAACAACCACGCGTTCATTTGAGGTTATGTTTTACACATGAATTTTTGTGCATGTATATTGGTTAATACACAACCTAAAATTTGATTTTGTGTCAAAACATTACATGTTTATACACTTATACATTATATAAAATATAAAATCAATGTCCATTACCCTTTACAAACATAAGAATGTTAACAAGTCGACAAGCACGGAGAGCGGTCGGCACACTTCAATAATGTAATAATACCAATGAAATATAAGTTTAATAAAATTTTATAAACCACTTTTGATATTAGATTATGATTTAACTTTAATTGTATGTTATAAGCTTAGGTTTCAGGTTACGATTCACGTTTGTTCACGCGTGGAATTATAACACCGTTCAGAAGTGCACGTGTATTAGGTGCGCGTATAAAGTATCCCATTCACATAGTGCATGAAGGGAATACCACGCCTCTAAAAATGCCAATAATTATTATTGCAAAACAATTTGAAATTCTGTACAATATCAAAAAACAGTTAAAAATGCTTCGATTACTTTAAACGGTGTTCTAAATCATCAAGCATTTATTCTAAGAATTTTATCGGTTCACACAGAAGAACCATATGACCATATGCCAGTTATAATATTAATCAATTAATAATTATCCATATATATTAATGAAAATAACATAAATTTATGTAATTGTACATAAGATACTATAAAATACAGTTATAATGCAAATATTATATATGTACTTACATAAAAGGGAAAATTGTTATATTGTGTACACGTTGCACGTGTTCAATATTACACGTACATAACATACATATGTACATATGTAAATACATACATACTTACATTTCCTAGACTATGCGAAATGGGAATACGATTGTACATACGTATCTTTTATGAATATTTTTAATATTTTTATCCAACATTCGTTTCAAACGATTATATTTTCATATTTGTTAGACAAATTCAAAATTTATATACAAATTATTTAATTCACGGGGACAAATGTAACGGAAAAATAAATTCGTTTTGATTATTGTTTTCTGAGATTTCAAGATTATTTCTAATTTCTTTGAATGCTACATGTGCTTTTTTATGTAGTCTTTACATAATTACATTTTTCATTAGACAAATTTAATAAATTAATTAATCAATTTATATATTTCATTTAGCTATTTACAAAGGACATCACTGAATTATATACATACTCATTTTTATGCAATTTTGATATGATTTGAAATCCGGTGATATATTTCACACATACATTTTTTATCGGTAACTGCTCGTGGTAAACGGGTAAAAACAACTCTCTAAATTAGGGTTGAAAAATACAGTTTATTGAATGTCTCAATAATTTAACTAAACTTTACCGTGCAAGTAGACTTTCAAAACTTTCATTTGTTAAAAACATACATAAAAGATTAGCATATTTTTGCAAATCTTTTTAATAAAACGTTAAACCTTTTTCATTAAAATTTGTACGTACAATGCAATCCATTTATTATAATCACTTTGAAACTTGCAACTTTTGATAACATTAAATAAAGGAAAAAGAAATTGTTATTATTGAGCTCAATTTATTCACAAATGATGGATACGTTTCAGGGAAAGATCTATTTACATATTTTAAAAAAAGTTTGATCGTGCACTCGTGTAAAGATAAAATTCGGTTAAAAGTAAGCTAAAAAATATCGTTTATCCACAAGTGTAATTATTATCACAATTGATAACAATAGGCGAATTATTTTTAATTAATTTTGTGCACAATGTTTTAGGACCAATGGATTATGATAATAATAGCTGATTGATAACATTGTCCGCGGTTATGATAACCAGATCCCACTGTATATACACTACAGTAGATAAAAAGTATGGTTAAATTGAAATTTACAGCTTCACAATCACAGTAGATATCGCTCGCTACAAAAAGATGTAGAGTTTACAAACTTAACACGCAATTTTATCATTTTTACGTAATTTTATCTACTTTTGAGCTGTTGTCAATTTTCTTATACAGGGTGTCCCAGTTTTAACCGATCAAACTGAATCAGTATGTTCTATGAGTAAAAATAGGAAAAAAATGTTATATAAACATAAGTATGAAAACGCTTTATAAAAAAGTTATAGCCTAAGCTTAATTAGCCTATAAATCATCATAACAGTACAGATATTTACACAATTCGATCTCTGCATTATCACGTTCAACTATTTCCAATAGTAAACATAAATAAAAGTAATCATAACAGATTTCACTTACTGTTACATTCCGATATACCAACAATTCTCGCTATTAAGCTTAGGCTATAACTTTTTTATAAAGCGTTTTTAGAAGCGTTTTTACTTATAGAACATACTGGTTCAGTTTGATCGGTTAAAACTGGGACACCCTGTATATGTAGTACAATCTATGACTAGAGAATAGTATTATTTAAGCATATAAGAAAATTATTGAAAATTAATTTGGTAAGGAATGGGTTGTTAAATTTTTGGTTGACTGCCATGTTGTGACCAACGCACATTTTCCCTTTTTTAGTCCGTATACATCATCATTTCAGTTATGTTTTCGTTACTGTGTAATCGGAATTGTAAAGTTTTATTTTCTTGAATTTCATTTAGCATTACAAAAAATTAGTTTGGCGAATTTTGCCGGTGGCAATTTCTATCCATATTTATACTTTGATCCAGAGCTACATAACTGTTTGTTCGTGAGCATTTTGTTTAGTTGGGTGACAGCAGGAGACAGGAAGAGAAAAAGGGAGAAAGAGAAAGACTGTATCGGATATTAATGAGCTCCATACTGACGGGTTAACACACAATCAAAAGGACAGTATTGCTCATGAGCAAGCAGTTAAAAATCTCTGCTCTAATCTACGATTTTATTTCGGTTTCTAATTTTGTGTTAAGTAGTGACTTAACGTTAGTTCAGTAGTACAACTGAGGGGGGGGGGGGGGGGGGGGGGGGGGGGGGGGGGGGGGCAGAAGGTAAAAGTAAATAAATACCAAATATTTTCAAAAATCTCACATAACGTTGTTGGAAATAAACAAAAAAATATAACACACATTTTTTAAACTGCAAATTCAAGTTTTTGAGAAATTTGATTTTGAAAAAAATGTAAATCTTCAACTTTGAAGATGTTTCATTCTTCTTAATATAAATTCATTCTATGACCTCTCAAATAAAACGGTATATTTGAGTAATAATCAAAATGAAAATGACACCTGAAATGTTTTTTAATTTATTTTAAACAAATAAAACCGGGTTCTCACTTTTATTGTCCTTTAAATACATTAAAATTTGTTTAATACCATTTTATTCAGGAAAGTTTACACAATTATTAACTGTAGTTTCGAAAGGTACCGGTTGCGAAACGACACAGAATTTGATGATGGTGTAGGGGGAAGGGAGAGGTTCTTACATACAGAAATTCAACTTTCAGTGTTTATTAGTTTCCGGTAAGGAATGCTTCCGAATTCGGAAATTATGAAACTTCGTGAATATGTAGGGGATGTCCTCCTGAATAAAATGCCCGTTTACAGTCAAAGGGGGTGAAGATCGCCCTTAAAATTTCCACCGTTTTACGTTTCTTTTTCTTTTTCTTCGTAACCGTTAGAGATATCAAAAAAGTTCATAAGCAAAAGTTGTTCGTCTTAATGTACAGTATTTTTTAGCTTGGGTTGGTTGTCACACATGTAAATAACCAAATTTATTAAAAAAAAATCAATTCAATTGAAAAAGTAAGAATTTTGTTGATTAGTTGTCATACGTGACAAATAACCCCAAATATGCTGTGACAACTTGACCCACATCGTTAAATAATTTAAACTATCCACTCATTTATTACGAAGTTAGAAAAACACAAAAAGATCATCAGAATAAGTTATTATAGATAAAACTAAACCTTCGGATTTTAAAGACGTTGTAGTTGATACTAAGCAAATAATATACTTACCTAATAGAAAAGATATTGCAACAATTTTCTCAAGTGTATGAAAATTAATAATGACCGTCGTGATATTAATCTACAGCGAACCGTGCGACCGTTTAGTTTCTTTGTTATAACAATTGTGACGAACATTCTACAAATTGAGATAAAACGACACGGAGGCACAGAATAGGAGATAGGTATTAAATACTACAAATAATAAAATCCTTCTTCCTCTCACTATGGTTTCACTATTTATTTCATTTTTACTTAATACATTTTCTTTTCTGGCGTGGGTGGGTTAACGCTTTTTCTTTTATACAAAAAGATAAAATAAAATACACATTAATTTCAATTAAATAAAATAAAAGACAAGTGGGCAGACCAACTAGCTCTCCTCGCCATTGGTGAAATGAGTTTTGAGGTAAAACAAATCGGTATTGTTCTATTTTTATGCTTTATGCTAATAATAAGCGATTTTACTTCTTTTTTAATTGTAGTTATATTTAATGAGCTTCTTACATCTTCATTGTTGACGATCCATGGAGCCATTCCTATTGGTCTCAGAATTTTTTATTGTTCTGTTTCAATCTTATTTATCTTTGTTTTACCGGCCATCCCTCCTGCCATGATTCCTCTAAAGCGATTCCCGGCGACGCCGACGTACTGAACCTAACAAATAAATAACTAGTTAAAAACAAATAAATGAACTTAACAATCAAAAAGTAATTATTGAATGGCTACTTACGTTCGGATTCAAGAAAGTTCAATAAAGCCAACAATTCATTGACGGGTTGTATGAACTGGTCCATCGTAAACATTGAAAACCCATCGGTAATGAGTTTATAAAGCACGGAGAAAACATCTCCTCCAGCTTTAATATACCCAACAGTCAACTTCCAGGGTCTCGCTGTACGTTCTGAGATTAATCCACGGGACAGCACCGGATGACAGCCACGAAATTAGATTTGCTTATCTCTCTGGTATCTCTCTCTTCGAAGAACTCGAAACCCTACAAGCTTATAAGCGCTTAGTGTTACACCGTAAGGTCAAAGAATGTGCAAAATCAGGGACACGTGCCTACCGAGGCTACTGCGAGCGTTATGATGCTTCATGCTGCGAACTTAAGATTAAATACGGTCATCCCCACTAATTGGGCTACCGTATATAAAGTGATTAAAAAGTATCGTTTGTTCAATAAACTGTAGGCGTATTTCAACACAAAATATACTTTATTCAAACACTCGTACACGTCGACGGTCAGAACAAGAATACTCTGCCGTCCCAAAAATCCTCGGTTGTGAGAACGCCTTCAGCCGAGTATCCACCTGTATCCAACGCCCGTATCGTATCACCGTTCCGAACCCTTTTGAATAGGCAGACGTTGCCTCGTTGCATGCCACGGCGTGCTACGGCTCGGACAATATTTCTTCGTTTCTTGATAGAAACGGTTCGGCAATAGGACTGGGCCACTACAGGCGAGGAGTTTCGTTTTGCTGCGTGCCGTTCCAAAGGAAC